ATGCTCTGAAAAGAGGACATTCAGCCACCTTGGAGTTAGGCCTGACTCTGGTTGCACAATGAGCAATTCTGTGAGTCGGTTTCTAAAACGGAAATGCAGGCCTTAAGGAGGGCACTTACCCAGGTAGAGACCCCGGGAGCCATTTGGCGCCAGAGTGGCCCGGATGCAACCCACCCCCCACTTTTGCATTGGAAGGACATCTCCCAGTGGCCTGACAGGAGCTGCCTTCCAATGTCCGGCTCCGGCTCAGAGGCCCCGAGTGGCCGCAGACAGCAGCCAGGAAAGGCAAAGACCCTGCCCAGCCAGGCACCAGGCACCTGCCCGCCCTCCCGACCTTAAGGGCAGGACACCGAGTGCTCCATCCCCTCTCAAGCAGTCTCTTGGGCCCGCTGGATGATGGGGCTCGCAGGTCAACGCACTTGGAAAGAGCCAGGTTAAAAAGGCTGGCACTTGGGCCAGGGAGAAAGTAGTTCGTTGCCGGGCAACGGCGCGCCTTTTGCCTTAATCCATTTCTTCACGGTGTCCACCAGAACCCCAAGGTTTATTTCTCGAGCTGCGACTGCAAGCTGAGATCCCATCAGCTTCTGCCTGAGGCTGGGAGAGTTTTGCCCTAATCTGCAGGGCCCAAACTGGATCACCATCTGGCCAGGAAGTTGGAGAGCTTCCACTCAAGAGAATGGACAGCATGGACCAGGGGCCTGACTTGGAATTAGGAAGATAGTACCGTTTCTCTTCTCCTCATGCATCCGTAAAGCCACATCCTCTTTTTTTGTGGGGGGGAGGGTGGTTGGAGAATCATTTATTGCAGGCAGTGCAACCCTCACCATCAGCAGACACACACAATACAGCACCTGGCCCACCAGCCAGAAATGGGGACCACTTTTCACACAAGGTTAAGGAGAAATGGCTGAGAACTGCTTGGGAAGCAACTCTGGGATTTGCTCCCCAGAGACGTTTGCCTGGTGCCGTTGCTTTATTTTTTTCGGCCTCGGGCAAAACCCTTTTCATTTCCCCATCATTTTAATGTTGACTTGGTTTTATCCTGGGTTTTATTACTGAGTTAGATGCAGTGCCTTGTTTTGTTTTATATTTTCGGGTTTTTTTTTTTCCTTTTTCTTGTAAGCCGTCCCGAGATCCTTGTAGTGCATGGGCCTATAAAGGCTTTTAATAAATAAAGTGGGGAGAAGGGGGCGAGAGAGCCGCTGAGCCGCTGTGGCAGCCCCTGAATGGGCCCAGCTCATGGCTGTTGCTTTGCAATTAGCCATGTGTCCACGGCATCAGCAGCCTGATTGCAAGCAGAACACATCGCTAATTACATTAACGGGGCTGCAAAGGGAGCACGGGGGAAGCAGGGAGGAACAGAGCGGTGGAGCAATCAAGTGTCCCACTGCAATATTTGGGGAGACAACTCTCCGATGAGTACACAGCCCGCATGGCCCCTCGTACGGTAATCCAAACACCACACACACAACAACACCAACGACACAGCAACATTTGAATGAAGCTGCACTACTCCTACAAAGCAGGAAAGGGCCAGGAAAAGTCAATTATGGACAGGGGATAACGAGACATTTCCCATAATAAACCCCTTCCATTTTCCATTTCTTTGCTTAGCCATGACTCGGGTGGTAAACTTTCCTGTGGCCTGTGCCTCTTCCCATTTGAAGTGGGGGCTTCTAGGAGAAAGAGCCCTTCCAGAAGCACACACCTCCCCACATAGAACACTAGCATTAAAAGGTAATGGGGGCCCATCCCTGAGCTGCTAGCTTTCTATGTGCAGGGCATAGAAAGTACTATAGGGAGTCACCAAAGCTCGTGAACTTTCCACCTGTGGTCTGAAGCGGTATAGCACAGACATGGGTCAACCACCTTGGTGGCCTACAAGAGGAGCCAAACGAGATTAGACCATCATAGCATCCAACTGGTCCACAGGTTCCCACAAGCGGGTGATGAGTGAACTGAACCACCCTGCCCATGCTCCCCAGCAACTGGTGCTCACTGACACTGGAGCTAGCACAGAACCATCAGGACCAGCCATCAGGGCTTGGCTCAAAATTTCGGTTGTAGCTACGTGGGGTGTGCGTGTACAGCCCCGCAGCCCGGTCTGCCTTCTCCACCACTGCTCCCTTGCAACCTGGATTAAGCAGACCCCTAAACATGGAGGTCCACCTGTTGTGGCTGATAGTTCTTGAGTCCACCAGTGCTCCTGAGTTTCCTCAATCCCCTTCTGAAGCCACCCTGTGGCAGTGAGTTCCCTAGGTGAACCGTGTGCCCCATAAAAGAGCCCATCACAGAACAAGAGGAAAGAACGGGCAGGTCTCTCCCCCAAACAGCATCCAAACCCACTAAAGGAACTGATCTGGGTAGGCTGTCTGTATTTTCATGCATCCAATACACATTTACCCAGAAGCAAGTCCTGCTGAGTTTACGCAGCGGTACAGCTAGTTAATTTTCGGATGAAAGGTCCCACCTGGTGCAGGTTTAGCCACAGAAAAGGCTTGCAACTCTCTCTTCACCCTCAGCCAGGATAACAGAGAGCTGAAGGATTTTTTCTCCGTGTCAAGACACATAGGATTGGGGCCTTAATTCTGGGCACGGAGGGGGGGGCTTAGACAGCTGCATGCATCGTTTCAGCTCTAAAACACATAGAAACAGGGGGAGTCAGAAGGGGCCTCCGAGGCCATCTAGTCTGACCCCCGGCTCCAGCAGGCTCCACTCACGACATGCCCACCATGTGCACACACTAATATTCCTTTTCTGCCCACTGCTAGCTCCTTCAATTTCAGACTAAAACCCAGAGTGGATTCACCGACCCACTGAAATGCCGGTCGACTCCACGGGCCTGACTTCTGAGCGCGTTTGGTCGAGATTGTGAATCGCGTGCTTTGGGGAGAGTCGAGCTCTTCCACATTTGCACCCGGGGATGCGTCTTTCGCTGGCGTTTAGCTCAGCCCTTCCGCGAGGCGGAGTGAGGCAGCTGGCTCGGGCAACAGCTTCGGGGAGACGGCAGCATGGTCTGGAGGGAGCGGGGGCTCCTCTGGGGCACATGCTCTGCTTCCGCATCGCCCGGGCTGGAGAAACTCTCCCCCTGCCCTTCAGCTCAGGCTTTTGGGTGTCTTGGGCTGACCCTGCTTCTGCCTTAAGTGTGAATTCCCTTTTTCCCTCATTCGTCAATGTTCAGTAGTGGGCTGCCACCCTGTGGCAAGAGGAAAGTACTGCAAAAAAACAGAAACTTTCCTCCACCCCAACGAAAAAACCCTGCAACAGGAGTTTCCTTTTTGCTTTTTTGTTTTTAATAGGGGGCATCTTTGTTTTGTTTGTTTGTTTATAATATTTTTATCCTATACAATGTAATTGTCTCAGGATGGCTTACAATATAAATAAACAATCAATACAATCAAAAAATACAATAGCAAGATAAAATGTGACTGAGGATATTAATGTTAATAAAACTAGATTAAAATTATTCAAGCTTTAACATGTTGGTCATATAAAAAGGTTTTTACCGGGTGCCGAAAAGCATATAAAGTCTGCGCCAGGCAAACCTCTCTGTGGAGAGCATTCCACATTGCTTTATGGGGGGATATCATCACCACTCCCTTCAAAGCCCCTAGGCAATCCTGACATGCCTCTGTGCCTTCAATGCCCTGCAGTTTGTTTGCTTGTTTATTTAAAGCTTTTCTAAACCATCCCTATACTAGGGTCTCGGGACGGTTTATAACGAACAAGTAAAATAGACATTAAATTGCAGTTGTAGCCGACACATCGGGGAGGTTCTGGGGCTGACCCAGAGAAGACCTTTGGGGCATACACCATGTCCCTCCATGTTCCTCCCAGCCAGAGGCAGCCTCCCCCGATGGCAAAGGTCCCGATCCAAAGGCAGCCCAACAGCAATGGCGGGAGGGCTCTGTTACCTGCCTCGTCCTATCTGTGGCCTTCTTAGAAGCATTACGGCAGAAAGCAAGAGGTGTCAAACTGGATCGGCCACTGCTCTGATCCAGAGGGGTTTGCTGCTGATCCACTGCAGCTTTTCTTTCCAGCCTTATAGGAACTTTCTGTGGTGCTCAGAAACGGGGGGGGGGGGCATTTCGGAGAAGCAGTGCCAAGCACTGAGGCACCATGGAGTCACATGCCTTCCCTGCACTGTCCTGTTTGGGAAACCACGAAGATCAGCAACCCAGGAGGGAGGCAGGTCTGACCTACGGGGCAAACTGACCAGGAAGCCCTGGTCTTAAGCTAGTCCTGTTGAAATGACCCCAAGGGGCACAGAAGCCTGCACAAAATCTATTGGTAGCACCACCCTCACCTTGAGTGATTCCCATTGCACCCAGTCTGTATAATTCTGGCTCTGACTGCCCGTCACTAAAGGCAGAATCAGATGCAAGCTGGAACAGAAAATTAGGCCCATCACTCCCAGCACTGTCTGGTTGAGACATGCTGGGAGTTGGGCCCGGGTGGGGGGCCGCGTTAAGGGGCATCCCAACTCGCATAGCATTGTGCCTCGCCCTGATGTGGAAAATGTAATCTGATGTGGATAACGTAACCAATGCATGAATCAAGGCGCGATTCCAGGCGTGCTTAGCCAAGAAAAAATCGCGTGCCCCAGCCCGCGCTTCCTGGAATTTTTCCCTGCCTAAACGTGCCTAGGATTATTTTTCTGCCAAAGCAGGGGGAGGGTCGCACCTTAGACCAGCCTCCCCCGCTTACTGCCTTCCAGATCCGTTGGCCTGACCCTCCCACTCCCTCCTTGCACGCTGCAATCCAACGCGCGCAGCAGGTGCTCGGAGCTGCACCTAGCAAGCCGCACCCCGCCCTCCCACGCGCTGCCTCTGTTCGCGCATGCGCGCCTCCCGCCAGCTCGCTCGGTTTGGCAGCAGGGCACGCACGCGCGACGGCCGCGGCTCCCGCGCATGCGCGGTGGCGCGGCCGAGCCTTCCCAAGGAAAGTCGCCGCCGCCCCGCCTGCGAGCCACTGCGCATGCGTGTATAGCGGTCTGGTCTTCTGTTTCCCTCCCTCCCCCATTAGGGCAGAGGGGGTTTCTTTTTGCGTCCTCACGGCAACTTCCGGTTTGCGACGGGTACTTCCGGGGCAGGGTCGCCGCTGTTAGGAGGGGTCGTTGCCGCTGCCCGGAAGCGAGGCAAAGCAGGAGCGAGCTCAGGGGACGCCCCTCCCCCGGCAAGGCTGGTGAGCCGAGGGGTTATTATGGGATGGGGGCCCGGCGGGGGTGGGTTGGCGAGGGTAAACTGAGGCAGGACTGGTGGCGTGAGGCCCTTTTCTTCCCACAGAGTAATTTTCCTGCTCCCCGCCCAGTGTCTTGTTATTCGTATTATTATCGTCGTCCTTTCATTTCATTTCCACTTATTCACGCGCAGTCATGCCAGCCCAGCATGATCCCCGTGGTTCCTGAAAGGCTCATGGAGGTTCTATTGTGGCCTCGGCTTTCGTGGACTGCCGCCCGCTTTCTCAGCTGCATGGAGGCGCCGGGTTTATACGCGGCACATCAACACTTTCCTCAGCCTGGGATGTATTTATTTGGGTAATTTATACCCCGTCCAATACCCAGTGGGTCTCAGGACGGCTTACAGTTCAAATCCCATAAATACATAGACACCCAAATAATTCAATACAACTGATCGACAAACTGAGCATAAAAGCATAGCTGAAATTAAACATTAAAAATATGGAAGAATAAAAAGGTCTTGACCTGACGCCAGAAAGCATATACCGTTGGTGCCAGGCGGACCTCTCATCCCTCCATGGCTGAGTGGGGGATCCTGGAAGCTGTAGTCCTAAGTATCTGGAGAGCCCCAGGTTGAGGAAGGTTGCAAAACATTTTTTTTTTTTTTTTTTTTTTGCGGAGGGGAGAGGGGAAGAATTGGGAACAGAGAGGTTAGAATGAAGCTGAATGTAGAAAGTGACCATCGCTTTATTAATGATGGTCTTATTGACATGCAGGTGGTAATGTAAACACCCTGGCAGTAGGTAACCAGTGGACAGGTGCATTTCATTTCCTTCTGACCTCATTGTTTATGCTTCATTCTTCTTGCACCCTCTTGAGCTTCTCTCTCTCTCTCTCTCTCTCTCTCTCTCTCTCTCTCCCCCCCCCCGTGTGTGTGTGTGTGTGTGTGTGTGTGTCACACTGTATCACACTGTAATCAAAGCATGCTGTTCGATGGATCTCTTGAACTGGGTTCTAGTTCTCAAAAGTTCATGCCTTGATAAATGTGTTTGTCTTTATGGTGCCCTAAAACTGCCACAATAAGCCGCTGCACCAAAAGAACACTAGCTGAGTCAGTATCATAATAATGTTGAGTCTGTTTCATAATGTAGTACACATCAGAATTGTAATGTTATCTGTTACTATCACAGCTATTCTAATTCAATTTTAAAAGCCAAAATAACATATAATGTTGAAATATTCTTAATAGCAAGCAAAAACAACAAATGGCATGACACTTGAATGGCTTGCAATACAATTCTTTATGCTGTCTACTCAGGAGCAATTCCCGTCAAGTCCAGTAGAACTTACAAGTAAATGATATTGCATTTCAGCTTAAAACATTTATTATAAGTTGTATCAGTATTATAGTACCATCTTTCTCCATACTGTAGAATGGGAAGACAGATTCCTGTTCCAAAGGCCTTATGGTCTCGAACGACAGGGGGGTGCAGTAGGGAAAGAGGAAGCAGAAGAAGGGAGAGGCAGGATATGTGATCTGTTTTAGTAAACCTGCTCTAAGCCGAAGGATATGGAGATGTTGGGATATTGCTGCCACACATCCCAAGAGGGCTGTCTCTCTGGGCCTCCTAACTTTCAGTGCACCTGGTTGTCTTCTCTCCCTAAGTTCAAACCTCTACTGCTGTTGTGACGTCTGCTTACCTCTCATGGTAGAAGCAGTATACTGAGTGAAAGAATGATTAAGAGCTTGCTAGTTGGTGCTACAATACACTGGGGTCACTAGAACACTGCCGTGTGTGTGTTTTGCAGAGGAAGAGCTGCCGGAGGCCCTTGTGCTGGCAGCTAGTTGGTCGCAGTGTGAACAGAATGCTGGACTAAACAGGCCTTTGCTCCGATTCATTCTGGCTCTTCCATGCATCGGTGGGCATCTTGCAGTAATGGATGTTGTGTGGAAAATCAGGACAGTGTTTTGAAAACAGGCAGTCTCAATTTTCAATCTGAAAAGGAATTCATTTTGTATTTTGCTTAGATTTTTTAGCCTTGAGAATAAACATACCTGGCAGGAGGAGTTGTGTAACTTTGTTATTACTATAGGAATGCAGAAACCGGTTCTTGTTTTAAAAACAAGAACTGAAAGTCCTGATTTAGGTGGAAATAATGCATGCTTAATGCTTAATGGGGTTTAATTTACAAGAATAAAACACACGTTAATCTTATGAGTATGTAGCTATTCTTTTAGTGATAGAGGGATAGTGATCTGATTTTGTAGAATAGTTAATTGTCTGCGGGGCTTGTCTTTAGTCATGGTGTGTGCGGGAGATAAAAATAGACCTGTTATTGGACAAAATTATCTTGATCTGCACAGCCTGGCAGTTCAGGAGCAATTTCAAGCTGTCTCTTAAGATTCTCTAAGGATAAGCCTTCTTATGCTGTACAATAATCCAAACTTGCCACTGAGAAGTCGCCTTTCAAAGTCTGTACATATGTACTGAGTGCGATGCTCTCATCCACAGTAGCCCGCGCTGCTGCTTGCTCCAGTTGGCGGGGTGGGAGCTGATACTGCAGGAGCTGGAGAACGAGCTTCAAGGTGATTGGTGACCTCAACACGTAGAGTTCAGCATGATCATCAAAGGAAATAACAACGCACAGCACAGGAGCAGCTTGCATTTTCCACTGTCACTTTGGCATAGTTCTGTGTTTTTATGTTCCTGGAGGCTCTTGCATGATTTCCTGATTAAGCAATTAGATGATCTGCACAGAGCACACAGAGAGAATGACGCCTCTGGCGATTTTATCAGGTGCAGAACCAAAATGCTAAGCAGCTCCAAGCCGTTGTTGCTTGTGGTGTGCTGGATGCGGTCCAGCTATTACGAAATCTTCAGTGTGGTTTCCTAGCTCGCAGCTTTCACATTGTTTTCTTTTCTAAGTCTTGTACAGCCTGACAGCTAACCTTCATATTGGGAATGCCATTTGCAGCAGTCTGTAGCTTTTGCTGGCTAAACCAATCCTAGCACACACATACCTGCCTGCCCTGGGTGCCACTGTTCGAAGGCACTCTGCATGCCTCTCCAGCTGTGCCCAAGGCCCTCCTCCTGGCCTTTTCACTGCTGTTTCCACTCCAGTACGAGGGCAACCCCACTTAGAGCATGCTATTGAAGCCAAATTGTGTGGTTACCAGTGAATGGTTCGCAGTGGCCAGGCTGACAGTATGCCAACTGCAGAAAACAACTGAATGTGTTACATCTTTAACCTGCTGTTCTCCTAGGTCAAGGATAGTGTCAGTAGCTTCTCCTTTCCCCTGTTCTACCTTTACCTCCTGCATGGGTGGGAACCACCATTCTTGGAGAACTTGCACAGAAAATACATTGCAGATTGTGGAGTTTTCTATTTGTTCCCTCTGCTGAACAATATATATATTTGCCTTGCTTTTCCTATCCTCATGGTCCTGCTTCTCATGTGATATTGCTCATGCACTTCATGCCAGGATTCTTAGGAAGATATTTCATTGCACAAACACTGCTGAACAAACAGTTCTTCTTACAATGTTTTACAGTTCTGATCATCTGACACAAAGGGAAGGAATTCTGGATCAAGTAGGCTCTCCATCAGCCATTGAGGCAACACTGAGGATGGAAGGAGTTGAGCTGAAGGAGGAGTGGCAAGATGAAGATTTCCCACGGTGAGCAGTAGTTATAGTGAGGTCTGATCTGCTTCAGAGCTCCTTCTTCGGAAGGTGAAGTCGCACCTGATCCTTGTCAAAAGAGCCACAGTCTGTGTATCAGCTCACCTGCCTGGCCAGGCAAGTCCCTGGCCTTTGTGCATTTTGGATCAAGGTGAATTTGTAAGGCACCATACATAAGTCATGCTCTGCTGGACACTTCCTGTGTGTATATACTTAGCATTCAGTTTGAATGAAGTTATTTTTAGTGCAAGCTCAGCTGATTCATGTGCATCCCCCATTTCTGAAGGGTCCCTGGTGGAGCTTTCACAGGGTGCAAAGCCACCCCTGCAGTGAAGCCTGGAGCCAATTTTGACGGCATGTGAGCACCCAGATGAGTGGATGTTTAAGCTTCTTCCAAAGTGCTCCTTCAAAGTGTGCTGGAAAGGTTTTGGGACGTGTTTTAGAGACATAGAGCAATAGTGCTGCATCACGCTAATGAAGCAGACCGGGTCTGGAGCAGGACAACGGGCCGTCTGAATGCTCCCGCCACCAGCAGCGACTGGAGAGCAAGAACTCTTCCGCCGCAAAGCTGTTAGGCAATGCAGATGAGCAGGTGTGTGGCCGGGCCAGGCAGTTCTTCCCACGCTAGCCAGCAGGGCGAACCACTGGCCCTCTGCTGTAGGGCAGGGTGGCCTGGCACTGTGAGGACTGCTATTCAGGTGTCGCTCGCCCCTCTGTGACCAGAACTGTCACAGCTGTGCAGTCTTTGGGCTTGGAGTGCTTGTGTGTAGATCCTCGGCCCCCATGAAGGTACAGATTGCCGTCAGGTGCCATCAAGTTGCCTCTGGCTTACGGCAACCCTGCGAATTAGCACCCTCCAGAATGTCCTGTCCTTCACAGCCATGCTCAGCTCTCATAAACTCCAGGCTGTGGCTTCCTTTACGGAGCTGGTCCATCCCATTTCCGGCGTTCCTTTTCCTCCTGCTGTCTTCCACTTTCCCTGGCGTTATTGACCAGGTACAGATGCGCTTTTCCTTCTAATAAGTGTCATCCTGGGTGGGAAACAGCTGAGTGTCGCATGGGTAGCCTGCCATCCTTGCTCGCCTGGGGACTTCCTTGACCCCGACTACGAACCCCCTTTGCGTGTGCTTGTAATCCTGTTGCACAAAGCTGGTGCCCACAGCAGACTTGTACGGAAGCGTGCTGTAAAGATATCAGAGTCCAGAAATGGGGAGACCCTTTTTCCCATCTCTAGACAGGATGTACTGTGATCTTGATGGCCTCTTGCTTCTTGCGTTTATTTCTATGCCAGACCTCTGCCAGAAGACGACCATATTGAAGAAATGTCAGATCCGGCTGAAAGAGGGGACCAACCTGGTAAGCATTCTCCAGCCAGCTGGTTGATGGTGATGAGGCTTATGGTCCACTTATCATGAGAGCTACCAGCTTGGGAAAAACTGCTGTAAGCGATCTCGGATAATAGTGTAAAGAAGGCTACCTCTTGCCCTCACAGCCTTTTCTGGGAAGTAAGGATGGGAGAGCAAGAAGCTGTGTTCAGCTTCTTCCTTGTTTGACTTTCCCTCGGCCAGGTCCTGGACTAGATGGATCAAACAGGAGATGCAACAAGGTCATAAAGTAAATTCAAAGGATACTATTTACTTGCTCAGTGTCACTATAGGGATTCCTTTAGCTGTGCTCATCTGTTTGCCTTCCTTGTACCTGGAAGTGCTAAGGCTGTTTAAACACAAGAGAATACCGTTGGTTTCCCCATCTTCTGCAGGACTCCTCTCTGACTAACAGTAAGAGCACCATTATTTGTGTAACATTAGAACAGAATGGACTCTGTTTGCATAACTATATACAGTGCTCTTGTAATATCTCTGAAAAGTAAACAAGGAAATGCGACTGCAGCGTAATGCTTAGGCTCAGAGGAAGATCTAGTCGCATCCTTTCTTGATAAAATGGTCATCTTTAGAAATACTCAGGTTCTGTTCTTGTAGATCTGAAGTAAAAATTGCCTGCATCAGTCAGTTTCCTTTAAAGGCTATTTGGGGAATTAGGACTGTCATTTCTTAATGTAGTTGAAGCATTTTGTGCTGAAAAGGCTCTCCGAGCAGCTTACACATTCATTCGTCAGTTAAACCACCCCCAGGCTTACAGTTGGAGCAGACATGAGACACAGAGGAGTGGGGAGGGAGGGGAAGAGAAAAGAATTCCTTCACTGGGGCTGGCAGAGGGCTCTGCGCTCACCCCCGCCCCTCGGCCGGGCCTGCTGGAGTGAGCACCGGCAGCTGCGGGTGAGGGAGGCTCCTGCCAGCCTCCCGCCTCCCTCGGCTCATCCTTCTGGAGCAACTGTGGCCGCTTGTGAAATAACGCCCACTCTTCCTAACCCAGCAGAGGTGAATGGGCACAAAGTTAAGAAGAAACTGGCCGCTCCAAACATAAATTTAACCCTGGATCAAAGTGAGGAGTCCGTCTTGTCCGACTTGGAGGACAGCAGGGATATCGACCTGGATGATGTGGAGACCCCCTCGGAGAACAGCAACGAGTTTGAGTGGGAAGGTAAGGGTGGCCGCTCCTTCCAGCCACGGGTATTTGTATGCTGCCTGGAGGCGTTCTGCACGGGGGGCGGGGGGTGCCCCATTGGGCCGTGGCTGTCACGTGATGTGCATCGCAAGGCCACTAAAATCCCTCCACATCAAACCTTGCGTCAGCAGGCGTGGCTGACATGGAGATTTGGCTGGTTTTCATTCCCTTCACACCAGAGTCCTAAGGGCAAGCAGCTGGATCCCGTGGCATCATGTGGCCTGGGGCACAGTCAGCTGCACACTGCTCTGAGACGACCTTCCTGCACAGCAGACGTGGGAAACCCTCTTGGCCGCCCCAGACTTGGGGCTGAGGCCCTCCTCCTCCTGACATCAGCCACTTCCACCTGCCCATTCCTCCTCTTTGGGTCCAGGGAGAGGCACAGAGCTAGGTCTGGGAGAAGGCTGGGAAGGGACCAGAGAGAGGCTCCTTGGCGGGCTGGATTGGGTCCACAAGCCAGTGGCTCCCCAGCACTGCTCTGCAAAAACAGTCCTGCACCCATGCAGCTTCGGGTCAGGGATTCGAGTCTCCTCATTTAGAGGTGGGAGGAGCCTGTGGATCATTGCCGCTGTTACACACTTAGGAGGAAACAGCCCTCTGGTGAATCACAAGTTGTCATGAGGTATCAGTGGATCTGTCTCTCCCACCGCTCTCTGCTGTTCAGGACCCCATGGAATAGCCTAGGGCCTGGTGTGCCATTTCATGCGTGTGCTCACTCCATTTGCATACTGCCCAGCAGCCAAAGGCTCTCTGAGCATCGGTTCTGCCAGTGAGCCCGTGTCCAGTCTGTTCTGTCCTGGAAAGGGACTCGAGAGTTATGCAGGCAGCCCCACCTGAGCTGCGCCTTTGCCGCAGCCCTGCCTGGCCTTCCTTGAGCATGTAGCAGCATCACTGCCCCAAATAGGTGGTCATCCGACCTCTAGGAAGTGCCAGGGCGGTTTCTGCCACCGCCGCCCTGTTGCAAACCTCCCTTTTGGGAAATGGCCTTTGGCAGAGCAGCACACCTGGCAGTCTCAGGACTGGCACTGCAGCAGAAGGGGCAGAGGGAGAAACAAGAGGGGGCGTCCTCTGTTTGGATGTGGCCGAACCCAGGATCCCCCCCCCCCCCCGCAGGACCTTTGTCATAAAAGAGAATCGCTCCATGTCACGCTGTGGGAAGAAGTAGCCTATTCTGGACATACTGGAGGGAGCGTGGGGAAGTGGCACTGGTCCTGGCCACTTAAGGGGATAAGGATCCCAGTATGAGCCCCCGCTCACTGGAGTCCACCTCTCTCTGGCCTCGCCTCTCTTTACAAGGTGGGATCTACCTCTCTTAGTTGTTACCCCTGCCTGTTTTGCATGTCCCCTGCAGGGTGAATCCTGGTGGTCTCTGTTTGTCGATGAACTATTTTAAAATATTGTGAGGCTGTCTCTGAGGATAGATCCCTCTCAAGGGAGTAGCACAGATCAAACCAGCACAAAGAAATATACTGTTTGTTTGATTTAATTAATGAAATTGAGCTCTGTTTCACATGTGTCCTGTCCTGAGGACGCTGGACGCTACAGTGGTGATAAGTAAAATGTTTGGGCATACGGTAGTTCCTCTGCTGCTTCTTGGAAGTATGTACGTATTTCTTAAATCGATGTAGCTGATGGTTAGTGTCAAGGCTGCTGGCGGTGTTTCAGTTCATCTTATAAACTCGCTGAATTGCTGTTTCCATGAAAGGGAGTAGAAGCTACTTTTGGTCAATGCCAACTTTCAGACATGATATTTTCAGACAGCTCTTGACTCAATTATGGACCCTCTGAAATTGGTGTAGAGATTAAAGAAGGTTGTCTTTTCAGTTTACATTTAGTATCCTGCTTTGAGCATTTGGATAAGTTTCGGTGCATACCGAGGTTGACACCTGATGGCCTTTCGCTAGCTTTTCTAATGGGTAGCATCCATAACTCCAGGGTTTTAGACTTTACAGTACATTGGGCAAGAGAGAGGCTGAACTGTACGTCACTGGAATAAGGTTTCTGTCTCTTCTCTTCTCTTTAATGCGGCGGTCTGCGTTTTCCTGGAAGGATAGTTTCCATTAACAACTTCTGTCTTGGAAACAAACTACTAACATGCTGCAGTAGTTTTTTCACACCTCTGTGGTAAGGTTTGTGCTACTGACATTTCTTTAAAAAAGCCATGAGGTTGATGTATTCTTTAGGGCTTTTTCAAGATAATACGCGCAGTTTTGATTGAAAGATCTATTTGCATGATTGCCACAAATCAGTGCATTGATGTGATTTGCTACTAAATTGATAATCAGTGGGAAATGATCATTGAAAGGGAGAGATCAAGGGCTGTCAACTTATCAAAGGGTTTTCAGCATTGCCACCATGCATAGGTTGTTTGGGGTATCAATTCAAAATATACTCAGGATAGCTTTCTTTTTTTTAAAAAAAGTGATTGCCTGAGTCCAGCTGTATCTTGCTCAGATACTGAGAACTCCTTTGCAGGGGACAGCTCTGATTTACAAAAAGGGAAGCTGGTCTGATTAAAAGGCCAGCTGTATCTCATGTTGATTTAAAAAGCAAGAATCTAATATACTCGAGGTTTATTCTTCAAATACCTTGAGTTTTAAAAAGTTCTGTACATTCACTGTTTAATCACATAATAAAAATGCAGCACAAGCAATTTCTAGATATGGCAGTTACCACTTCAATATAATGGCACTGGATTTTAAAAGATTTTGTGCAGATAGAGAACTGACAAACCTGCTTAGTCTATCCGAAACATTTTGTGTAATTATATCTTAAATATTCTGTTCCTTCAAAAAACCACGGACAGATGATCTTCCAAAGCCCAAAACTACTGATGTAATTAGGAAAGGATCGCTTTCAGAATATGCAGCATCTGATGAGAAAGAAGAGGAAAGGCGCTGGCGAATGTTCCGGATTGGAGAACAAGATCACAGGGTAGACATGAAGGCAATTGAGCCCTATAAAAAAGTTATCAGCCACGGAGGTGAGAATTATCACAAAGTGTCTTTGTCAGAGTACCAGCCCACACAAACTGCAGGAAAAAAGCATAACCAAGTTCTTCTCCTCTCCTCTCTTCTCTTCTCAGGCTATTATGGTGATGGATTAAATGCAATTGTTGTGTTTGCAGTTTGCTTCATGCCAGAAAGTGGGCAGCCAAACTACAGATACTTAATGGATAATCTGTTTAAGTAAGTGGCTTTTTTTTAAATAAGTGCTGCTTTGACATTAGTTAGAAAATTGAAATATTTTGAGTAAAAGGATGCAGGGCCCATATGTTCAAAGTCTTTGAACCCTTTCCCCCTCCTCCTCCCTGTTCATGTTTATTTTTTATTTATTTTTCGATTTATATCCTGCCTTTTTCCTGCAAAGGGCTCAAGGCAGCTTATATCATTCTCCTCTTCCATCTTATCCTCACAACAACAACCCTGTGAGGTAGGCTGGGCTGAGAGTCTGTGACTGGCCCAAAGCCACCCAGTGGGCTCCATGGCTGAGCAGGGACTCGAACCCAGGTCACCTGAGTCCCAGTCCCATGCTCTAACCACTGCACCACCCTGGCTCTCCTGTTCATGTTGAGAGGGAGAAGACAAATGTCTCCTGTGGTCCGATGGAAGATGCCCCTTAATGGCGGGTCACTATAACCAGCCTAGCAAAAGAAGTAGTTGCGGTATCTGCAGCAAAGGGTGCTTGGGCGCGATAATCACCGTGAAGCTTCATGGGAAGGCAGGTTGCTTTTACTTTCCCTACTGCAGGTATGTCATTGGCACACTAGAATTATTAGTAGCAGAGAACTACATGATTGTTTATTTGAACGGTGCAACGACCCGGAGGAAGATGCCCAGTCTAGGATGGCTCAGGAAGTGTTACCAACAGATCGACAGGAGGTAAGATGAAGCTGCCGTGCAGGACATACAGCTGTTTTAGCACATGAAAATGTCCACCAGCATAGTGACCACTGTTGAGGTAAAGTGTAAATTGACTTCTCTTTTTGCCATATCATGAAAGCCAGCTCTGTTGCCCTAGTTTGCAAACCTCCAGATCACCGGGCCACTTAAAAAACTGACACAGCTTCTCTGTGTACTCAGCATAAAGCAAATTTCTTAAACCTTGTAGAGGGAAGGCATATGCAGCATAGGAAGTTGCTTGTCAGCCCATTAAGCTATCTAGCTTAGCATCCTCTGACTGACCCCGAGGCCTCGTTATACTTTCAGGCAGAAGCCCTTCAGGCAGGAGTCTTTCCTGGTCCTTCCTTGGGGATTCCATGGACTGAACCTGGAGGATTTTATGTGGGAAGTATCTGCTTTCCCACTGAGATAGGACCCCCCAGATCTGGGTACTCCAGAAAAGGGGTGGGCAGAAAGTTGATCTCCAGGTGTTTCAGCTTCAAAATTCCTACAGGAATGAGCAGGGAGGGTTAGATTTCGCAATTACTCATGAGGGCTACAAACCTGTTTTTCATTTGAACTCTGTTCCCAATCCACATTCCTTCTCTGGACATTCCTTCTAACTTACACATACAAGCAAGGCTGTAGCAAGTATATAAAAATCTTTAGCTTTTGCTACATACAAGCTAGTGCTTTGGGAGCATATTGACTTTCTCTGTGGCTGACCATTTGTTAATATTTTTATTTAACTGTAGGTTAAGGAAAAACCTGAAGTCATTAATTATAGTCCATCCTTCGTGGTTCATTAGAACGCTTCTGGCAATCACAAAACCTTTTATTAGGTAACACTTGAAATATTTCCTTCCTTCTCCTTTTTTAAAGTGCTGGTGTGTTTTAGAGTGTAGTTGTAACGATGTTATCACATCTCTTTTAGCTCAAAATTCAGCCAAAAAATCAGATATGTCTTTAGCCTGGCGGAACTGGCTGAACTTGTCCCGATGGAATACGTTGGCATACCTGAATGCATAAAACAGTAGGTTGCTGGTTACTTGTTTGCAATCCTTGAACAGGGCATAAATGCTTTTTTGGAAATGTCTAAATGTCTTCCAACTTGGCTTCCAATTAAAATCCAAATTGCATTGTAACGTAATTTGGGAGACGTGGGGGAGGGTCCTCTTTTGCCCCATGGCAGTTGGTGAGAGAGTCCAATGGGGTTTTTGTTTTGTTTTGTTTTTGCTCTGGCACGGAAGCAGGAAGACTTGGAGAGGGCGGACCCACAAAAACAGCCGGCCCTCTGTCTTTGAGGGTGCCCCTCCTCTGGGCTTAACAGCAAACGTTTTATGAAGCCCACGTTTACAATTAACATCAGCTTACTTTGCAGGACTGTATTATGATCAAAGTATAAAGAGAGTTCCTGTTTGACCCTATTTTTACTTGCTGGGCCCTCAAAGATGTCTAGCAGCATCTTCAGTGCTGCTTTGCCATGTGTGTAAAGGGTGTTCGGGGTTACCTGGGATAGGACCATGTAGGTAGGACAGGACCATTGCCCTTCTTTGTCTGGGTTTTGAAAGTTATTTACTGATGGGCCATGCTCTGGCTTTAACGCGGTTTGGGATTTGCTGGATCTGATTTACTAAAATCAAATTTTCCTCACTAAGGTATGAAGAAGAAAAATTTAAAAAGAAACCCAAAAGGTACCTGCACAGCCTGATCAGGACTCTTGCTAATCTAGCCACCTTTGCACTGTGCTGACTCAGGGTGGATTTGGCTTGCGGGAATGCATACAGCATGTGTGAACGGACGCGCACCCCTTGCACGTGGACCTAAGCTTATGCTGTGTCACTCACACTTTCCGAACGGACGGCTTATTGTGCCAGTTGTCAGCCAAGTAGCCAAAAGGCTAACGCTCCAATCTTCAAATGCGGAACTGCGCAATCCCCCCCACCTCCAGCCACAATTTCGCAATTGCTGCAAAATGCTTCCTTAAAAATAGATTGACATTGGCTACGGCTCGGTAATCACTTGAGCCTGAAATTGCTTTAATTTGCATCTCCACTGCCTGAACCAACCAAAGAGCTTTCTTGCTTGGAGCTGTCTGCCTTTGCAATATCTTCCCCCCCTCCTTTGGGCATGGCAGGGGTGTGGGACTCATCAGCGCATGCTGGACTCTTCTGGTGCTTGAAAGCGCGCAGCCTGCTAATAAACGTACCTCAGGGCCACGGTCCAAATCTGATCACTGGTTGCCATAGCTACTAACAACTTCCCGTGATCCAGAAGGTGCCATTTGCAGAATGGTTCCAAAAGCCTTGCTGCCGATGTTGTCATTTTTCTTCTAGTTCACCTTCAGGGTGGTATTACAGGCCGAGGACTGTGCACTAGGCACCTTAAGAAGCTTTCACAGGAAGGACGCTTTTCCGTGTGTAATCCAAACCCTCCTGCAATTTAAGGACTGTCGTCCTAGGAGGGATTTCTATAACCAATCTCTTGCTGATTGCACGGGAACTCTTGTTCGCCTTGTCCTTGCATGAGGCTCCGCACGGCTTTGAGCTCAAGTTCTGTTTTTGACCTTTGTACTGATCAGTAAAACACCAAACCCAAATGGGACTCGTTTCAAACGAACCTGCAGCTTACTAGCTGTCTGTCTTTGAAGCCACAGCTTTCATTCTGTGTCAGCCCCATGTTTGCTTAGATCAGAAAGAAGCCCAGCAGCTCCGCATTCCCCAATTGTGGGGACTTTTTCTGTAAACATGCATCGGGTTGCAACCTTACAAGTGTAAACTGTGGAGGGGACAGTCCCGAACTCTGGCAGAGACCTGCTAACATCTAGGAACTTGCCCCTGGATGCCGCTCACTTGGAGCCATGAGGGGACATGTGTGTTGGTCTCTGGGCAGTTGTCCAGATTGGTGTTCCTGGCTTGACACCCAAGATCTCACGTGGCTCAGGTTCTGGAAAACGTCACTTAGCCAGGCATAGCCTTTGTTCCAGGCACCTCTTCGACCGAGAGGCGGGAATGATACTTCAGGAAGAGCTCTGTGCCAGGGCGGATGAATTTGGGAGGCGATCCATGGTGATGGCACCGAATCCTTGGCAGCAGGCGATCCCCTCCAGCTTGGGACTGCAGCGTGATGTTGGCAGTAGAACCAGGCAGAGCTGGACTGCTAGGCAGCGTCAGCAGGGGAGGTGGCCTTGCAAGCTGCGTGCGCCTCACCAGCTCCCTGTCGTCCATAAGCTGAGCAAGGAAAGCTTTCCCAAGCCTAGAATGCCTCCTACGACTTTGGCTCTCTCGGAGCCAAAACACCTACCTCTAGTTGTGCAAGAACAGCCCTTACAAGGCAGGCCAGCCTGAGTTCTCCCCGTCTACCTGCAACAGGGAGCCGCGGCCAGTCCTAGTCCCGGGCAGGCGTGCTTCAGAATGGAAACGTGCGGGTGCCATTCTTTGCTAAGGTTAGGAAGCATTGCTGGGGGCATGTGCCACCTCCTCCAGTTCCGTGTGAGACCCACACCCTCGGCCTCAGTCTGAATAAACAGCCGTCCCTTTCCTTGCCGTGGTTTGTGTGCCATTTGCCTGTTCCCTTGTCATGGTTGAATTCACCCTCTGTTTGCCTTTCAAGTTCTGATTCATGATCTGCAGAGAGACTTGCTGCTTTACTTTTGTTAACAGTTTCAATGCAACTGCCAAATAATAAGCACTGTTCTTATTCCGTCAAGAACTTTCATCTCCAACAGGGCACAGAAATGCACCTTTGTCTTGACTCTTGACTTTTTGTCTACTAAGCAGAATTGACCAAGATCTTAATGGGAAACAGGAGCAGAAAACAGAACAATGAAAGATTTTTGTGTTTTGGATCTGAACCAAGACTGAGGAATGTGTCGATGAAATGACGTCTTGCCTTTATCAAAGCCTGTTCTGAGGAAACCTGCCTCTGGATTTGTGCCCGATGGACTACTCGCTGCCGAACAGGTTCTCAAGTCCTGGCTAGCCATTGGCACGTAACAGCTACCTTTCCTATAACTGTTTTATACTGCAGTGTTGCAGAGCATCATAGGAAGCACCCATGTTTTTTATCCTAAGTGATGCTTACTCAGTAAATATTTATATGCTTAAACGTTAAGAAAAAGAGATAATATATATTTTTATGATTTCTCAAAACAATATTTTATAATGTTTATTTGCGAAAACCTGTTGTGGGTAGACCAGGCCATAATGACTGCTGCCATTTATTCAGTAATAAAGTGCATGACAATTTCTTATAAATGGTCAAATAGTTCCTGGCTGGCAAATAAACAGAAGCACAACCTCAGCAGTTTACAAAGCTAAGAGGATGAAATCGGCCATCCCATGCAAAAGCAGAGATTCGTTGCCAGTGTTCAGAATACTCGGATATCCACTCTGGGTAGGTGTTCTTGGCCCCAAATGGATTCTGTCCATGCCTTAGTCTGTTTGGTCAGTGGGCTTCTAATTTTGCACAGCGATGCTTCTGAGAAGAATTGACGTAACAAAGCGTGATGCTCGCAGAATGATTGCTCTCATACTTGGCCAGTGGAAGCAATATGCAAGTCGCGTGCTCTTGAATCAAGTCAGCCACCTTCCAAAGAAGGGATGCCAACCGTCCAGGCTGAAGATCGAGGGCCGAATCACGTATTACAAGAAATGCAGGCCAGCTCCCCAAATGGGCACCCAGAGTCACCTCTGTACAATGCAGTCCTCCTCTCCGTGTAGCATTCCTTGGCTTTCCTGTCCATTGAAGGCGCACAGAGTGGAGAAGCCTAGCATGATGATGTCAGAATAGACGTGTGTGTTTGGCGATGAAGTCACAGAGAGAAGAAACTCGATGGAAGGGTGTTCTTCTCAGTGACAGCCCTGCATCTCTTGTGTGAAGCGTGGTTGCACCCCGAAAATGAAGGTGGGATGAGACAGGGCTGCCATTGCGTAGCCTGAGAAAGCCCTGCGGTTTTGACCCAGCACCTTCCACAAGCACTGAACTCACTTTATACGCTTTTTTTGATTTTGTTTTTTAAAAAATCAGACCTGCATGTCCACAAGCTTTCTCACCTGTGCACAGGAAGCAGCTGCCCTCGTGTGGCCCAAGTCACGGTTGGTCCTGGGTGCTCATGTACACTGTGGACATACTATATGCACTAATCCGACGGGTCCGTCATCAAAACCATTGATTGTAGCAGAGTCGTTAAAACACTTTGCTGACCTTGGAAGAAACACTTTATAAATACACTTGTTTTTAAAACTTGTCTTGCATGTTAGCGACGCAGTCAGAAGCACCTTTCCAGTCTCCAAACAGTGTTTACTTGTGGGGGGGGAAGTGCTGCCCGTATGTCAGTTTATAACCTCTTCAATAAATAGTGTTTTTACATTAAAATGGCTTGGACTGGATGTTTATCTTCAGGAGGGCTCCAGCATAATCCCAAAGCACCTCAGGGCGACCTTAGATTGAAACAGGGGCAGGTGTGAGTTGCTATCCAAGGGTGTTTGGCTTGAGAAGGGTCCACTCTTGCTTGTCGGCTGGCATTGCGAGAAATGAATGCTGCTTCATTGGGGGAATAGCTGGAAAGGGACCGGCGCACTGCTTTCCTGCAACAACACGAGTTGCTGTCTCTTCTGATGCTTGCCACGGGCACAGTCCCACGCATGTTGAGACAGAAGAAAGTCCTGTAACTCCTAACATGTCCCAGAGCGCTTACAACTGGAAAGAAGAGCAAGATTTAAGGGTTCAGGAACTAGCGTGGACTAAGTTTCCATGCAGTTCAGCACTTATCAGGAGTATTATCCTGACTTGCGCACGTGTGTGTGGGAGTGTTTTGGAGGAAGAGGCATAGAAAACAGGTTAGGAAAATGAAATGCAGAACCTACAGGCAGTGACAATTGTATTTGGTGTGAATATTAGCCACCCTTCTCTCCCCCCCCCCGCCCCTTTTTGACTGTTTCCCATCTGGCCTGGTGAAGCATTCTGTAGAATTTGAAAGCATGCAATTAGTGTGACCTTGGAGCCAGCCTAATTGCAGGGCAGTGGTATGCTCATGAAGCACCCTTTCAAGTTGGAGGTAGGGAAACTGTCAACTCTCAGTTGGGATATTGTTGGGATATAACTCTCATCCGCCCTAGTGAAGCTGCGACCCTAAGAAACAGCCCTAAAAAGCAGAAGAGTGTGAACTTTTGTTTATATCTTTATCAGCATCCTACAGTCACTTGAGGCAGCCTGGAGAGCACCAGGGTGGGGAAAGGCTGCCTTAAGATACGGTTGTTAGTTCCCGAAGGCACTTAAGCCAGGAAGGCAACCGCATTTCTCTGGAAGTAGGCAAAAATAAGTGCGTTTCAGTGTCTTCTCCCGCAGGGATTTTTGGAGAAATCGGAGGAAACCTCCCCACTATTTTCTCGCTTCTATTCTTTATTCCCATATCCGTGCCCCATCTTTCTCTGCAGCCGGCCTTCAGTGGGGCTTGCTCTCGAGTAAACGCGCGCAAGGGCAGGCAGCGTGATGACGGTCTGGGGCAGGGGTGGATCCTGCAATTTGGGACTGGGAAGACTGGTTTGGCTTTTTTTTTTTTTAATGGGGGGGTAGGCTGTTTCCCCAGCTAAACTCTTCAGTGATCTCCCCCCACCCCCCAGCTGCGCAGCAGAAGCCAGGGATAGAGCGGCCTGGCTGCGCATGCGCCGCGTCTGGGCTCCGGAGGCCGCGGATGAGGCCGCTCTTCCCCCCCCCCCTCTATAGATGCGGATGCGCTCAGCACAGCGGCGCGAAGGGCGTTCCAGTGGCTTCAGGAACTCCGTGGTTGCGACTTCCGCCTGGTGCCACTTTTGCTTCCGGGTCGAGGTTTCCTGAGGGAGGAAAGGGAGGGAAAGGAAGAACGCCGCTCGCCGCCGCCGCCGCCCCTTCGTTCGGGACCGTCAAGCGCGCCAAGAGCCGGCCGGGCCCGCCCGCCGCCGCCGCCGCCTTCTCCCCCTGCAGGTGTCGCTTCCTCCGGGGACGGGGTCCCAGCTCGGGCGGCAGCCCAGGGGCGGGGAGGCCTCACCAGCCGGGAGGTGCGCAGGCAGGCGGGTGGTCGTGGCCGGCCTCGCAGTGTAAATCACCGCAGCAACAGGCGCCTCCCAGAGGCGCGCCGGAGCCCGTCCACGCTCCCGTGACCCGCGCCCGGGAGAGCTTGGGAAGGCTCGGTGGTTCTCGCCCGGCGGTCCTCGTCCTCACGGCCCATTCCTGTAACTGGCGGCGGCGGCAGCAGCAGCTCCTCATGAAATGGCAATGCAGGGGTGGGGGCTGGCTAGCGGGGGGGGGGGGCTGCCAGGGAGTCAGGATTGGGGGTGGTGCCCTCTAAGCCCTCCAGATGTGCTTAGGGTCCTGCTGGCGGCACTGCGTGGCTTTTCATTGTATAGGGCACGATCCAGTGCGTGCTTAGGTAGAAGCAGGCGCTGCAGGTCCCTGCATGCCTTGACCAGCCATGCACTAGGGTCGGCGACATCACATCCATAGAGCGTGAAGCTTAACTGGGAGGTGTGATACAGTTAGGTAGACCTGTACACATAAATGCATAATTATTTATGTAAAGGCAGGATGGCGTTGAAATAAAAAGGTCATCCTGTGGCTACTCTGATATGACCAGATATATTTGGAGGAAGCACAGGGGCCGCCTCATGCAACTCATTTTGCATATCTTTCAGCTTTAAATGAATTGCCATTAATGCTGCATCTAAAACATTCTAATGCCAAGGCTATATTTAAAGGCCCTGGAACTGGGAGAGTACAGATCTTGTATTTGTCTTTGTCCTCATCTTTCAATATTTCTGTGGGATTCTTATAGTTTGATTTATTAGCAGCTTAAAAACAATGGAGTGGAGAGTTGGCCTGTTGTAAAATGTAAAAAAAAATATCTTTACAGAACATCATCTCTTCAAAATATCCCCTTCACCTACCAGAAGGCTAGTAAATAAAACTGCAACTGCCAGTTGCCTTAACTGAGTAAATAGGTAGGCTACCTGCAATGCATGTTACATGCATTTTATCTGTGTTGGTAGAAATTTCTAAAATAAGTAACAATATCCTGGTAATTATTCTTGCCTATAGATATGGCAGTTACTGTTGATAACAAAGTCTCAAAGGCTATTTATTTTTGTCTGGAGCAGGGGTGGCAATTAATTTTCCTCTGGGGCCACATGAGAAACTGTGACAGTTGTTAAGGGCCGAGCCAATACACTTACAGCTCTGCTCAATATATATCTGTATAAAAACAGTAAATGAAACATTACAATGATCCAATGAAAATGTGGAGCACAGAACAACACTATTTAATGAATATTCACAAAAACATTAACATTACATGAAAAGCAATAAATTCAGTTCAATTTAGCAGATCCTTTAAAATAAAAGCAGTGCAGTTGTATTGCTTGTATCTATATTACGACGATACATATTTGCATTGACTTTTAATTTGCCAGGGACCTCATGCGGGCCAGGCAGGGTCAGCCATCGGACCAGATGTGGCCCGCAGGCCGTACAATGCCCAGGTCTGGTTTAGAGGGTCATTTATGCTCTGCATTTGTGGCAGAGGTATAACTAAGTCCAAAAGATTTTAAAATCTGTGTTTGGGTACTGCTGGGTAGATGCCCATGTTGTGTTCTGCCACAGCCTTGAAAAGTGATGTGTGACCAGCACTGAATGCATGGGCAAGCTATGTTTCTAAGCTGGGATAGGCAACCAGGTTTCCTCCAAATATTTTGGACTACAACTCCCATCAGCCTCAGACAGCCTAGCCAAAAAGCTGTAGTTCGAAGCAGATGATACCTGCTGCCCAATCCTGTTGTAAGTTGTGATTCCCTTTCTGCCTGCCTGCCTGTTTTTCTTTTGTAATGTTGATCGTTTAGTAACCTGTTTGACTTCCAGATTCTTCTTTTGAAAGAAGACTGTGCTTGAGAACCATGTTAGCACAGTTTGTACCATGCATGCTTTCCCTTCCTCAGGCTAGCTTAGTAATTGTTGTGCTGGATTTCCCAGGTCCGTGGTAAAAGCGAGGCTTCTTCAGGTCTGTGGATGTTCAACAACAGTTTTGCCATTTTCCTGAACCATGGCCTACCAGCTCTATAGAAACACCACGCTGGGAAACAGTCTTCAGGAAAGCCTGGATGAACTCATACAGGTATGGCGTAGACTGCTTTGCCCCTGTAAGCCTGAACTTTCCAGTGGTGAATAAATGTTTTACGGACAGGCCACACTAGGTTTTCAAAATATAACTGGAAAAGATGTAGAGGATGTGCTTATTTTCCACTTTCTCTCCATGGTCTCATTGATGAGCAAAGATTAAAATGCTCAGTCGTGGATTATTATTATGGATTATTATGGGTTTATATGCATTTATTGGGTGTTTGGTTTGCAAGTTGTCCAGAGACGTGCAGTGTAATTGGGTGGGATAAAAGTATTCATTTTTGGCAGCTGTGCATGGTGTGTGAATGTTTAAAAGGAAAACAATAATTTAAAGATTTTTGCAGAGTCAAGCTTCTGTCTATCCCGAATATAATTCATCCTTGAAGCTGAAGGTTTTTCTCTTCCCGCTTTCAGTCTCAGCAGATCACCCCTCAGCTTGCACTTAAAGTACTTCTGCAGTTTGACAAAGCTATCAATTCTGCATTGGCACAGCGGGTCAGAAACAGAGTCAATTTCAGGGTAAGAACACTAAGTGCTACCTAGGAGTGGAAAATATTTTCCGTGGTTTACTGTAATTTCTGCTCTAGAGCCAAGCTTGACCTGTCCATAGAATGCCCTCCTGAAATGAAGTTGGAGGGGTAAGACCAGAGGAAGTTTCCACAGCAGTAGGAAGGGAAGTTAGAGCTGGGTCTCCTCCTCTTTTCCCTCTGTCCTCAGATGAGAGATGTGAAACATCCTATGGTCCGCAGAACATCCTAGTAGGACATGGGAGCAGAGGAAGTTGCCTTATCCCAGTTCAGTTAGCTGGCCCATATAACCCAGAATCGCCACCACAATTTCCAGCTGGAGTTCTAGTCCCAGGGGTCAGACCCAGAAGCTCGACTCGCAGACTCTGCTCTGCTGCAGAGCTACTGGGGGGGGGGGGGGGCGGCAGGGGTGGTGATCTCAAACACTCGACTAAAACTACCCGCTAAAAAATTAGCCTGGGCTCCTGCTTAAAAGCAGGCAGCAAGGGACCTTGAGAAACTTACCTGGGGAGGCCACTGCATAGTTCATACTGTTGTGTCACTGAAGTGTAACCTTATGCCTTAAGATTAAAACTTTCAGCGTCCCCCAGCCCGCCATTCATGACTGTGGCTGAAATCCACCACTGAGCAGTTGGTAACAACTTGGCACAGTGGTGTTTCTATTCTGTTCTGAAACAAAGCAATAATTGCTACATAGCAGAGAAGCTGTCTGATTATACTAATCAAGTAGTGTTTACCTTTTCGGAGAATCACTATCCCATAGGGGCTGCACGAGGCAACCTTGTAACATAGCACATTGATCCAAATCGAGAGGCTACTTCTGCTGCGTGGCTTCGGTTTACGGTACTGAGACAAAGAATTAAGGATGGTCACATCAGAGAGAAGAGGCCAGATGAGCTTAGAAATGGGAGAATTCTGAAGCAACAGGGCTGCAGCTAAAAAAAAGTCTGCCCCTCTTGGTTTCTTCTGAACCTAGTATTCCTCTGTTCTGACTCCCCCATCTATTTGGTGCTAATATTCCTTCAATGGCCACAAGGGGGCACTCTGTGTACACCCTTTCTCAGGACACATGGGATGCGGGCAAGGTGGCTTCAAGGGCATCAAGCTTGGATGGCACAACTCGTGAGCAGATACTGTTAGCCAGCCTGCTGGCAATTACTGAGACACCCTCGTTTTTCTTCCAAAAGGGCTCTCTGAACACATACAGATTTTGTGACAACGTTTGGACGTTTGTACTGAACGACGTTGAGTTCAGAGAGGTCACTGAGCTTGTGAAAGTGGATAAAGTGAAAATAGTAGCCTGTGATGGGAAAAGTAAGTCCTGTGCCCTTGTTGTGTGTAGAGATGCTGAGCCCAGGTGGCAGAAGGGCAACCCCACCTGTTAGCCTCCCACCCCTCTGTCCAGCTAAAACTCGTATTTGTTTGGTTTTCTCCTCACCTCAACGCTTTGGCCTGTGAAAAAGGCATGTTTCCTTTGAAAGCCTGAACCTTGGCGGAGGTATAAACTATGCAAAATAGATACAACTCAGTTGGCACAATTCTGAACAGTCCTTGCTGGCGTTTGCATAGCTATTTCCAAAATATAATTAGAACTCCAGGCTATCAAAGTTCTCTTCCCTGACATGAGCAAAGTGCTTGATGGAAAACTTGGAAGCTTGTTCATTCTGCCTGCCCCAGGTGTGTTAGGTTTGTGTAAGCCCACTGATCTCTTAGAAGCCTCCTGGCTAACCTGCACTTGGCATCAGAAATCCAGGACTGAGCCAAGGGGTGCCCAGCCTCTGTTTAAGGACCTGTAGTGAAGACGTGTTCACTCCCAGCACCCTTACCTGGTTTGAGAACTGCCTTAGAATCTGAAGTGCAAATATGATCTTTTAGCCCCTTTAATTCCATTCTCCTTCACCGTACAATCAAAATCAGCTCACCAATCATGTTTCATGACCTGTGAGGTGACTGACAGCACTCTTAATCTTGCAGTCCTGGGTAGGAATTCAAAAAGAAACGGAGTCTTGTTTTCTTCAGGTTTCTTTTGTGCTTTGTTGTTGTTTGTTTCTTTTAAATAGTTTATCATTGTTTTCTTAAAGTACAGAAGGAAGAAGAATGTAAGAAAAAATCGAAATGAAATTTCTAAGGGATCTTAAACAAGTATAACCTATACATTCATAACCTGCAAATTTCCAAAGAGGCCAGCACTTTCTATCCTTCTGTCAATCAATACTCTGTTGAAGCTTGAAAAAAGAATGATTATAGTTCCCTATACCAACAAATTTTCCAATAACTTCAAATCAATGTTAAATCGACAATATTTTAACAAGCTTCCTTTTACATCATATTAATTATACTGCTATAATAGAATTTCCATTTATCATTAAATTCTTCAGTTCGTCTTCTGTTTTCATAATCAGTTATTTTACCATCACTGTGTACTCGGCCAACTTATTCTTCCAGTGTTCCTTTGCTGGGCAGCCTGGTGTTGGTTTCCATTCAGAAGCAATTGCACTTCTTGCACCAGGCATCATGTATTTGAATATTTCTGACATGTTCTTTGAAAAGGTCTCTGGCATTATGTTCAAAAGCATATTCTCAGGACTCCTAGGAAAATAAGTTTTAAAGGTTTTTTGTATTTCCACATGTATCAGCTTCCAAAATCTTTTCATTATGTCACTAGTCCACCACATATGGTAGAAAGCCACATCTACTTTATTACATTTCCGACATCCTCCATTGACATTCTTGCCTCTTTTTATAATCCGTCGTTATTTGTTTTTCGGCGTCAGGCTAAGACCTTTTTATTTCAACGATATTTTAATAACTTTTAACATCAGTTTTTAGGTTTTATTATGCAGCCAGGGTGGATCTGGATTTTATTTGTATTATGTTTTATTTTATTTTATTTTATTTTATTTTATTTTATTTTATTTTATGTAAGCCGTCCTGAGGCTAAGCGATGGGACGGCATACAAATGCTAGCTAGCTAGCTATAAAGGTCGGTCGGTCTGTCAGTCGGTCTGTCTTTCTTTCTGTGGAAGGAGCCCTGCTGGGATAGGTTGGTGCCACCTAATCCAGCATCTGTTTCTCACAGTGGTCAGCCAGATACCTCTGAGAGGCCCCCTAGAAGGCAAAGGTGGTCTTTTCCGCTCTCCGCTTCCCCAGCAACTATTATTCAAGGATGTGGTACCTTTGAACATGCAAGTTCCACCCTCCGTCATTGCATCAGTAGATCTCCTTCTCCATGAATTGCTCTACTCTCCCTTGAGAGCCATCCAAGCACGTGACCATCGCCGTGTCCTTTGGTAGAAGATTCCACCAAAGATTGCTTGGGGCTGTGTGTTCTTTTGTCTGTCCTAAATCTTCTGGCCAACAATTTCGTTGGGCAGCCTGGTGCGACAGGAGATTGACAATAGCTTCTTGTTCCACATGATGCTTAGTTTTATGAAACTAACCTCCTCCCTCTTGCCTCTTGCTTTAGTCTTCTTTCCTAGGGAAGAAGCACTAGCATCCTGATCTGCTGATAGCTCTTTTCTGTGCCTGTGGTGCATCTCTTTGAGATGGACTAACAGGAACTATGTGCAGGATTCCAAATGTAGCCACTCTGTTACAAGGCCCCCTTTCTTTGCCTCTGGATAAGCCCCTGCAAGCATCTGGAAGAGCTTTCCTCTTAGCACAGTTCAGTTGAAGCAAGCAGTCCAAGTATGGATTAGTCTTCAACCACCTCGGAAGTGATCAGTTACATCCTTTCCACAGCAAACAGACAAAAACTCTGGGTGCCCGTTTGGTACTTCTGGGGCCGCTTCAGGTTGAGTCAGTGGGTTTATGCCTTCTCTGCTCGTGGATGTACAAGCTCCAATAAACCCGTTACTGCTTAAAGCAGCTGCAGCTGCCTGTCCTTAAGAGGCTTCGAGGCTTTGGAAGGAAATGGGGAAAGGGCAGTCAGGAAACCCTTCTCTGCACAGTGCGGAGCACCTCATTCGGGACTTAAGACTCCTATCCAGAATTGAAACAGCCTCTGGCAGATCCCCCCTCCCGGGCCTTCATCTGTGCTTGCCTGTCTAACTTCCATTCTCCTCTCTTGTAGATACTGGCACCAATTCTGCTGAGTGACGAGGTGGCATCTCCGTGCCAGCATTACCTTTAAGGGGCTGCACTTCTGGCAGTGGAGCAGGGCCAGAGACTGTGTGGATGGCTATTCTAATGGCGAAGACATGAGGAATCCATGCCAGAATGCCTTTGGGAACTGTTGGCAAGATCTCTGCAGAGCATCTTTTCAGTTCACTGCCTGGAGGGCATGAAGACAAAGGATCTTGCTTTTTTTAAAAGTGAAACAAACCATAAGGATGATACGCTGTTGCTTTTTGGTTCGTCAAGGTAGCTCCAATAAACCTTTTATTTAAAACTCCTTAGCGAGTCATGATTAGACCTGAGTCCTGTTCCACATGTGCGGCTCCTTGGTAACAGGAGACAAAAGATAAGGAGGCATCCTGGCTCAGTGGGTAGAGCAGAAAGTTCCGGGCACCAGGCCCTGCCACCTCTGCCTAAAAGGTTTGGGTAGGAGGCGCTGGGAGAGCTCCCTGCCGGAGGCCTTCAAGAGCCCCCTTCCAAAGCGGTTCTTCCTTGGCAAAGCACATGCACCAGCCTTCTAATGCCTCCGGCGCTTCGCAGCGCACTCTGGCAAGGCCTCAGTCATCCTTGCCCCCTTCTGCCGTGGGGTAAACAGGCCGGAGCAGTGTGAGAGGCTGCGACCGTAGATGGAGGAGAAAACCAGCACACTGGAAGTTAAGAGGCCGGTTTTAGTAGGCTGGAGAGAGAGCAGTCTGCTTTGTTGGATGCAAACCTGTGGTCTGTGGTAGGGTTAGCTCGGGACTGTTTAACCCCTTAAACGACTCGGAGTGCCACCGTTCTGGTATCACAATGCTCTTCGTTCCCTCTCAAATGTGTGGAGCCCATGGAGTTGTTGCTGCCTTCCTGATTTCTAGGTAGATGGAATTATTGATGACACTTCTGATTTTATGTGTATCTGTAACACAGTCCGTGTGATTTTATAGTGCTGAAGGCCAAATGAGATGGGAGCGCACCGCAGAAGTCAGGAGTTCTTGCTTAGCTGGTGCTTCCTGCACAGCCCCTTGAGGTTAACCTGCAGGCTGTTTCTGAAGCAGTGTGACCCAGACTAAAGTCCAGTGCTATTCTAGTGGGGCCTTCAGCAACATGTGGCCGTTGTGTGTGCTCCTCACGGGTGGTTTCTCCTGGATACTTCATCTCCGCTCCCATCTAGTTTCCATTTTTCTTCACTCCAGTTTAAGTGTTTGCAGATGACGATAACCCCCTGTCCCTCTCTCTCTCCTACAACATGCATGGATTATAGAGTAGCTTTTTTTAAGAATGATTTTGTGTGTGGTCACATTCCACAAAGTTGTCTCTGACTTACGGCGACCTTACGAATGAGAGACCCATTGACTCTCCTGCCCATGACAGCTCCATTCCGTTCCATTAGCGGCAGCGGCTTCCTTCGCAGAGTCCGTTCGTCTCGTATCTGGTCTTCTCTGACATGCTTGGCTTCTCCAGGAAGTCTTGCTTTCCTGTGATGTGTCCAAAGTACGTCAGCCACAGTTTTGTCATTTTTGCTTTCTGGCTTGATGCACTTATTCTTCTTTCTGTTGGTGCAGGTTGTTTGCAAAACTCCTCCAGGACTGATTTTGCTTGTATAAGCTCTATTGCAAGCCTTCAAACAAACAGATACCAAACTAACCTGAAAGGTATATTCTGCTGAGAAATGCTCTATGAAAGAAAGAACACATCCAGGAATTTAAGCCTATTGCCCCTAAAGCTTAGTTGTGATGACATTAAACACTCAGCTGGCATTTTAGCGTACCTTAACCTGAGACTTTGAAGCCCAAGCTCATTGTTAAATTTTGGATCTTGTCCTTGTAGGAAATAATAAAGTGAGCACACCACATTCCACGTATGTTTGCTCTTGCATCACATGATCACTTTTCCTCCATGGTGTCTCTGCCCCACTTGGCCTTCAGTGAAGTGAGCCCTGATTGCAACACAAAACTGCTTTGACCACCTTAGATTTCCCTGCTCTCTGAATGCAGCAGAATTATAAGGATTCCAACGCCATGAGAAGGAATTGAAGGCTTTCTTGGCCATTTGACTTTGCAACTATGCCAGGCGTCAGTTTGCTGTGCAGCTTCGATTATGCTGCAGTAAGAGGAAGGCCTAGTGGATGGGGAGAGGATTTGGAAACACCCCAGCCCCCAGTGGAGGGGAGGGGAGTGCTGAGTTTGCTCTGGCTTCTTCGTATTCATGTTAAGTTTACTCTTCGACAGATTGGAAAACTTGATTTTTCCGAACTGTATAACATTACATGCTTTTGTTGCTGCCCTAGAAATTCCTATCACTGAGAGATCTTCCTCAACTTGTATGTAGACATAAAATAAATTTACTTTGAGGTTAATTGCTTATTCAGGCATCTTACTTGCTAACACGTTAACACTTCCTGCTTAGTTGCCTATGTGTTTCTATTACAACACTGGATACAAGGTTCCATGGACCTTGAAGGCACAAAAGCATATTTCCTCCTTTGTTTTTTTCTTTTTGAGGGACACAATACTTTGACAACTTGGACAGCTGGTGATCTTCTGCTGTAAAAAAGGGGTGCGGGGAGATAAGCAAAGTTCTTACCCTTTTGCAGCAAAGTTGTTCTCTTTTGCCCCTGCTTTTGTCCCTCCAGCGGCTCACCCAGGGGCACACGTGAACTTCCCCACTCTTTTAAAGGGGTTTGGGAGTCTGATAGCTAGCTCCCGAAACTCTTGGTCACTTTACAGAGCGGGGCGTTGTGTGGAAACTGGAGCTTAAATGTACACAGAGGTTCATCCCAGTCCAACATTGCTCCTTCCCCAAGGAAAACCCTTGTAAAGGTTTGAACTTGACAGGTTTGAACTCTAGCTGTCAAACTCGGGGTTCCTTTACAAGGGTTTTCCTTGGGTCGCACATATATATATATGTAAAAAATGGGCAACACACATGTTTTCATTTCCTGAGCCCCTGGGGTGCCCCGGTAGGACTGAGCGGGGGGGGGGGGAGGAATAGAAGGGGACTTGCTACCTGCTGGGTGCCCAATTGTCAGCCCAGGATTTTGGGTGCGGGGGTGGCTTATTGCACTATATAAACCAGTGTCCTGTAATGTAACGCAATGGGGGAGGTGACTGGGAGACGCAGGTGAGGCAAAGCATTTCTCTTCTAAGAGTTTGGATGGCAACAGCTGTGCAAATGAAAACTGCACTCTGATATAAATTTCCCACCAAGTATTCCTGTTTAAAGCTGTATTTCTTGCCTATTTCATGGGATGCAGCTTCTGTTAGCCCCTGAACTTCACCAACTATCATTAGGTCAGTCTGCTTCTCTGCTTAACCGCATCCAAATGCAGGTAGGGGAGAGGCAAGGAGAATGTTCTTTATTCGCAAAATCATTCTACCCCACAGAAAACGAGACGCCTTCCTCCTGGTGCGCCAGGGGCTTCTGGGGGCAGGGGTTGATTTCTTCGTCATGTGAGTCCTTGGCCCTGCAGCTTGACTGATGCAGCCTTCCCCAGGGCTGCTGCTTCGGGGGAGAATTGAGACAGATTCAATTTCAAACAGGACAGATTTATTGGCTCATCTTCAGCAAACAGAACTGAGCCCTGCTCCAATTCCAAGCGGGGACTGTACTGCTGTCCGGCAGGCGCGGGTTGCAGCTCAACCTGAACTGGAAGTGAACCAAACAGGTTAGTCGCTTGCCTCTCTGCCAAGTTTCTGATTTCAACATTGGGAACAGATCCTTACCAGCCTCTGTTTTGCAACCTTTCTCCCTTGGAGGTGGGGTGGGCACTTCCTGCTTCATGGGATGACCACAGGTTCCAGTGTTAAGGGAAAAGGAAACATTTTTCTCCACTTCTTCATGCACCACGCTCAGCTCCATCATATTCCCCCTTCCTCGCCTTTTCCTGAGGCCCAGTTGTTGTAGCCCCTCCTCACAGGGGGGCTACTCCAGCCCCCTGATCATTTTTGCTGCCCTTTTCGGTACTTTCCCAACTCAAGTTTTCCGGTAAGGCGACCAGAAACAAGTGCGATATTCCAAGTGCAGCCACACCAAAGATCAGCATGCCGTCTGGCCCTCGGGGCTTCTTCACACATTATGCTTTTAAGTCATGACGTGCGTGGCAAATCGGTGGTCGAGAACAGTGGCACCCTTCAGGCAGCCAGGTTCCCTCGCCAGGTGTGCAAGGCTCTGCGTCCGAACTTGCACACCTTCCGGACCTTGTGGAAGAGTCCAGAGTAGATCCATTAACTGGCTCTGCTCTGTGCAGCCAAACTTGAGGAGTTCCAGGGACTGGCCCTTTCGGGGAATTTCCAAGCTATGTGCCATCCAGCCAATGCAAATTTCGCCGTGGCTGTCAGTCCAAGCTGCACCTTGCCAAGTATCACCTCAGGCCCACCCCGAGCAGCCCCTCCCTCATCCCGACTTGACTTTTCGCCAGCCACACTGGCAGATGCAAGCACTGTAAGGAACGTCAACAAGGAACTTGGTATAAACCTGTCCCTTTCCCGTCTCACTCTTCACAGACAATGGGGCAGACCAGGATCTTTGGAGCAGGTTGTTCTGCCCCCTTGGGCTTCCTCCATAAGACATTCCTTCCCTTATCTTCTGTTTGCCCTGTAATAAACTTGCTCAGGCAGGTTATGGGGCTGGATTCCCTCCCTTCCTTGCCCCTTTTGGGGTCCTGTCGCATAAAGCACAGCACGAGCTTTATCTTTACCGAGCGCGAAGAGGAAAGGGAGGGCATGAGTTGGGGATCTGGCCTATGGTGCTTCTCCCAGGTAGCCAGCGGCAAGAAAGGACTTGCCCGCCGTCTGTGTGGGCTAGCTAATTCAGGGCGAGTGACAGCAAAAGCCGTGGCCCGCTCCGAGGGCTGGCGTTGGGCTTGGCCTCAGGTGGCCGCGACAGGGTGTTTCTGCGGGACGCAGGACCGGCGCCACAGTGGCCGGGTAGTAGCCAAGCTGCAGGTGGAGGAGCTCAGGTGGGGCTGGGGGAAGGGCATGCGAATGGCCATGGCCCTCACGCGTGGGGTGGCCCCACCAAAGCGCCCGGTTTCAGGCTGCGGCCATTGCCACGGGACGGTTGTACTGGGTGGGGTGCCTCTGCTGGGTGGAGAAGGCAGATGCCATAAATCTGCCATTGGAATTACTGATGATTGTTCTGACGGCCTGGCCCATCCCACCGGCCGCTGCATTTGCCTTGTTTCCTCTAAAGAAGGAGTTGCCTCTTGCCCCACCAGAAAGCATTAATCCATCGTGTTCAAATAATGTAGGGAGAGGTATTTCTGAATATAGGTCAAAGAGTTTTTTGGAGAAGTGGTGTAAAGCAAAAAGCAAACCAAACCAGAGAGGGGCGGCTTCCTGTCCCCGTCCTTCCTAACCCTGCTCTCTGTGGGCATCTGTCTGGAGCAGAAGCAGCGTTCTCCCGGGTCGGAGCAAAGCTCCCCCTCACTCAGCACTGCGTTCCCCAGAGCGGCCAACGAGGAGACTCCTTTGTTGTCCGTGCCCCAGCACTTTCTATGCAGGATGATAGACTGTCCCTTGACATGGAGGTTCTATTAAGCCACAGTGGGTAATAGGCCACGGCAGACCTGCTTCTCCTCTCTGGATGTGCCCAATCCCCCTTCAAAATCAGCTGTCACCGAAGCCCGGCAGGCAGCGGCAGAAGCTAATGGTACACGGTATGAAGAATCTCTTATTGTTACGCAGACTTTCCCTTTCCCAGGGCCCTCCAGATGCGCTGGGACTACAACTCCCATCATTTCCTGCCAGCCTGGCCAACACAGTTGCAGTCCCATCCCATCTGGGGGGGGCCCTAGTTGGGGAAAGCTGCTTTTATGCTTCCAAGATGGAGCTCCCATTGATTTCAATCGAGGCCCTTGAGCATTGAGAGAAGGAGAAAAAGGGTTAGTTTGCGCTTGTGGCCATTTCTGGCTTCTGAATTTCCTCTCTTTTTCCCACAGAGCAGTAACTGTTCTCTGGATGGATTTTGTCCAGTCGCCATTGGTTTTACAAATGCTTACAAGCAAAGTTGAAGAACTGAGATAAACAGAAGTGGGGTGCAGTGGAAAGGAGACTTTGGGAAACAAACCAGGTTAGCTTCTTCTCCTTATCTGCAGTCTACAAACATATCTACAAGCCACACTCATCTACAAGCATTAACCAACAAAGGAAAGGGAAATATAGCAAATCATCTCTCGCTTTCTTGCTCGCTGCTAGAACAGCAAAACTTGCCCTCTGCAAGCTGCAGCAGATGAGAAAGAGAAAGCACGAGAGATGTTGCCAGATAGCCATCCCCACCCAAATTCCTACCACTTTGCACTAATGTGCAAACACAACACAACGGGCCTCAGGTTATGATTTGCTCCTGGGAGCCACCCAAAAATATGCTGTTACTCATACAGTCCTTCCTGTGGGTGGGGGAGGTGGGGATTGGGCACACAAGAGCAGAGTCCTTTCATCATCATCATCATCATCATCATTATTACATTTCTATAATTATTATTATTATAACATTTCATTAGGACTGGCTACAGGACCACATTGCAACTGTAAAACAGCAGCAATAGAAATGCAGAAAAATACGGAAAAAAACGCACAATAAAATCACACCGTAACCTTAGTCATTTAAACCAAATACACAGTAGCATTAAAACACAAGACATACCATAAAATCACTTAAGATTACTTTAGCTATTGAAATATTAGGTAAATAAAAAGCATCTTCTCCAGGCAATCCTCTTTGAGAAGCTGGCTCTAAACTTTATTTTATTTTTTTTTATTTTATTTTTCAGTTTATATCCTGCCTTTTTCCTACAAAGGGCTCAAGGCAGCTTACCTCTCCTCCTCCATCTTATCCCCACAACAACAGCCCTGTGAGGTAGGTTGGGCTGAGAGTCTGTGACTGGCCCAAAGTCACCCAGTTGGCTCCATGGCTGAGCGGGGACTCGAACCCGAGATAGTCTGATTCCCAGTCCCACGCTCTTCACCACTACACCACACTGGCTCTCATACACTACCAAAAAGTGCCACTACCAAAAAGACCCTTCCCATAGCCACCCTCTTTGTTTCCTTTGGGGGGGGTCTCAGAAGGATCTCAGGTGATGATCTTAAGGTCTGGGTAGGGACCTATGGGGTATGTGCTCCTTTAGCTAACCTGCCCCCAAGCCATTTGGGGCTTTAAATATTAACACTTTGAACTGGGCCCATATTTCAACTGGCAACCAACGAAGTTGATGGGAGAACCGGCGTTTTTCCCATTCGTTCCAGGGGACTTTGTGAAAGTGGCGTACCAGGACTGTGGAAACTGTAATCCTGGCTTCAGACAATACGGCAAGCCCTGGTGGTGTGGAAAAACGGTTGTTTCTTATCATGGTTTCTAAACTTACCAAGGTGAAATACCACAACTAAGTTCAGACAACACGGTAGACCAAGAGTGGCCCAAACTACCATGGCTTGTCTTTACCCAGCCTTCTTGTCTGGCTTTTAACCCGCCTCCCCTTTTGTGCTTTGTTAACGTTAGACGGCATGCTTCCCTTCCGCATTGCTCTTGCAGCTGCAAAAGCGGGCACCTTGCATGAAGGTGCTGCCATCTGGGTTGAACGCCAATGATCCTCATCTTTATATCTCTCCTAAACAGAAGAAAAAGAGGCCAAATGGGGAGAATGAAAGGATTCCTTTCATGGGGAGAACGAAAGGATTCCTTTCCTCTTTTTCCTTGCTTTGTGTTTAGCCAATACATAGATAAATACGCTTGCACAATGATCACTCAAAATGCTTGTTTGAAAGTGTGTATTTATTACATTTGGATGCCGCTTGTCAGACAGTTGTTCTCTCCCAAAGCAATTTGAAAAGAGGGGTCTGTTTGGGTCAGGCTGTTCTTCCCTCGCTGGTGTTCCTGCTTGAATAGGAATCGGGGGCTCTTCTCCCTGGGCCGACCGAGGGATCCTTCGTCTTTGCTCTTCCTCTTCCTCCAGCAGTTGCAGGGCACGTGTCCGTGGCAGCCAAGGGCTCTTTTCAAAAGGCAGGGAGGCAAAGTCCCTGCTGCTGGTGCTTCTCCATCCACTAGCTGGGCCAGCTCGGTTTCCCCCTTGCCATTGACGGCTTTTCATGGCTAGTGGCTGCTAGCTGCCAAACACGTCCCTCTTGTTTGGGTGGGAGCGGCGGGGTGATAATTTGGAAGCTGGACTGGGGCCAGCAAAGGGAGACAGAAGTCCCCCCAGTGAGACGGATCCTCGCAGTGGGGAAGGAGCACTGCTCTGCCCGGGAGGAACCGCCACTCCGGGATGGGCTAGCGAAGTGCAAGGCCACCTTTGGCCACTGGAAACTTGAGGAATAGGACTGTAAAGCATAAGGAAGTTGCCAGAGTGAGCGTGTTCGGACACAAAGGGAAGGTCATCTGGCGAAATTAAGACGGCAGCAGACAGGGGCTCCACTGGCAGTCAGAAAATAGAAAATTATTTTGTACGTAAGAATTGGGAGGAGCGGTGTGCCTGGGGCCCCCCAGCGCCTGCAGGCACCCTGTGCCCCACCCTCCATCTGGCAGGATCCGCACAAGCGAAAAAGCAAGCCAGTCACAAAGTCAGTCAAAGCTGCTGGCACTCTCTCCTCACGGGGAAGCGAGCGCTCTTTGAAAATGCCACGCACCTTTCATCTCGCTTGCAGGTCTGGGGGGAGCGAAACCACGTTAAGCATCGAGATTGAGAAATGACGCCCTTTGGTTTTCTTACCAGGTGAGGCTGGAATCTAGTGTGAGCCACATCAGTCCTTCTGGGGGAGAAGCTCGCTTGCCCAATAAGGGCGTCTCCTTGTGACTTTGCAAAACTCCCAAAGCCTTCGCAGCAAAGCTGATCGGTGATCGGTGCTGTTACAACAGAGCCATACATTTAATTGTGGGGGAGGAAACAAACTAGATGAAAGCACGGAGCAAAATGTTCCTTCTTCCTTCAGCATTCCTTGGTGGGTGTGCTTTGGAGATCCTAAAAGCCACACAGGACCCCCTGCCCAACCCCTCATCAAGCAGGTACTCATTTCCTTGGCCAGCAAAGCAGCTGTGGGAAGCAGAAGTGGGGTTAAGAATCCAAGCCTTCTTTGCCAGTGGCAAAGCACGGACTCCGAAGACCTCTCACCTCGAACGCTGGCTCCGCATTCCTTTCTCTCACCTCTTCTCCCCTCCTACTGCCAACCTTCATCTTGTTACATCTCACCTGACAAAGAGACCTGGAAGTCCCGAATGCCCGCACATTTGTGGCAACTTTTCTGCTAACCTACTCAAGGGTTGCCATTTTCTTGTACCTGTCTTCCTTTTCTGGATTCTGCAAGTCTGCTCCCTCCCTGTGACCCACAGGGGAAATGCCGTCTGCCCGTCTGCCTACCTTGTCCTTTGGAAAATCCACACCTGCCCGCACCTGTGGTCCTAAGAGAGGGCGTGCTGGTTGCGAGGTGCTTCGGAGAGCGAGCACCCTCGCAATGTGCTGAGGCCTCCTTCTGCAAAACCTGGGCAGGTTCTCAAGAGGACAGTCTGTATACGCTCCCTCGTGCTGAGGAATCGGTCACTCAGAGTGCCTCCCCGAATATGGACTTGTGGCGAAGGTGCTCTTCCAGGCACGTTATGACATCGTCATCCACTCTGGGGTCAAACTTGTTGGCGAAAAGGTGGTGCTGCGTGATCAGCCAGGGGAGGTCGCCTATTCCATAGACGCACACCGCCCGCTGGTGGGCGCCCGAACACGGGGGGTAAGGAGCCCCCTTGCTGACGTCCCCTTCTGTATAGGACCACTTCACTGCTCTCGCAATGGCGTTCATGTCGGTGAGGTCGAATTTGCCGTTGAAAGGGACCGAGCCGGGCACTCCAGGCATCCGATGCAAAGTGGCCCAGAGATGTTCGTCCGGGCTATACGTGTCTTTGCACCACTCCAGCACCTGCCGTGCAGCCGGGTCTTCAAAGAGATGCTGGACAAAGGCCCGGGTGACCACGATATATGCATTACCTGTGAACATCGGGGACTGCTGAGGGGGAGGGCTCTTTTTGGTGTCCGTCCGGACGATAGAATCCGCCACTTCGTAGTGGTTTGTCCAGCGGCCGGTTTTGATTGCCGACGGTTTCTCTGACTCCATGTTGTTTCTCCCATTCAGAAGTTTTAGGGCTTCAACGATCTCTGCATTGGTCTTGATAGGGAAGTCGGTCCCGCAGGTATTCAGGAGATACCTCCAACGCACCTTGCTTTGAAGTAACTCTTCCATGCAGTTCAAATCAGCTTGAACCCGTGACCAAGAGGCATATACCACACGCTCCTGTTTAGCCACCAGGAAGACATTCTCAAAGCAGGATGCAATCGCCCGAACTGCGTTTTGGAAAGGTTCGGGGGCCTTCTTATCAACGTGGACACAGTAGACATTTTGCGGGGTGTAGATGGACCTTAGCAGCCGTTCGAACATCTCAATCTTCTCGTGGATCACCATGGAATAAGCAATGGGGAAGTCTTCCTCCGCTTTGCTCAGGGGGACCTCGATGAACTTCCTGGCTTGTCGGAAGGCTCGGCAGTCCTTGGTCATGTTCAAGTACGCTTCCTCTCCCAGGGGCTCCCTCTTCTTTTTGCGACTTAGCCGGTTCAACAGAGCCTTCTCGACCTCTTCAGTGTCCCCTCTGGTGATCCGGGAGCAGTTGAGGTCGCCCGAGTGGAGGAGCCTCACAGCCTGGTAGAACCTACCTTGGCAGAACCGGCCCCAGGAGCCTTTCCCCAGCTGGGCAAAGTCACAGTTCCAACGGGCAAATTTCAGCACCGCCGTGGCAAAAATCATCAGCACCCCGACCCCCAGCAGGCGGGGGCCAAGGCGCCTCCTTTCCCAGAAATGCATCGTTGGAGAACGCGCAGAAGAAACGGCTCCACGCCACCCTCGCGCCTGACAGCGCCCCAAGCTTTGCTTCCAGGCCAGGCAGTGCTGTGCAGGTTCCCAGGTAAGGTGCTGGAAGAGCACACCTGGGAGGTAACAGGTGCTCTGCCCTTCCTTCCTCCTAAACTGCACGCAAGTGTAACCTGAGCGTTGTGATGAATTGTCAGGTGCAATTCAGGTGGGGAGGGGCTGGAACTGCTCGACAGGATCTCCTTGCAGCGGAGATGTTGCAACCCGTAGCAAAGGAATGAAGGAGGCGTGCATAGCCCTTTGCTTTTGAGAGCTGTTTGCTAACCTTTGACTGAATTTCTGGTAGATTAGGGGGACTGAATACTGAAATGATTAAGGTGTAAGAGCGACTCCCTTGCAAACACAGCCTTGTGCAGGCTCATGTGTCACGTGTTTCTAGAGCTTATGGGAGCTGTGGCAAGCTGGGGTGTGCTCAGCCCCGCCCCACCCCAAGAGGTAAGGACAGGTGCAAGGCTTCCGATATCTGTGTGCATCAGCAGTCACCCATCACCACTCCTGTCTTGTCAGTATCCTTTAAGCTGCCTACTGAGGAAGACAGGCATATGGCTTTTATGTATGGAGGAGAATAGTCCTCTTTCCTGTCCTGACTTCGAAAGCTGTCATGACCTGGTCAGCATGTTTGCTGAACAGTCCAGCTCAGGGACTTGCAAACTAGGCGCTAGTAGGAAATGAACCCCTGTGCGCAATCCGGTGTAGATTTTTAGAGACCCGAGGGAAGAGAAATAGAGCAACAGCCTACTGCTTTTAAAAAATCGAAATAAATAGCAGATGAGCTCGTTAAACCTTAGTTCTCAGGATGCCAAGGGTAACTCACCAAGGCAGTTTGCACGGGTGGGGGGGTGCGGAGTCCCTCCAAGGTGCTGAAGCATGGAAGGATTTTCCTGAACTCTGCCAACCAGCTGAAAGGGAATGACAACCTCCAAGGGTGCAGGTGTTTCCAGGGGCTGGGGAAGTGCCCAGGGAGGGTGCCCCAGGCTGACTCACCTGTTGCCTGGGAGGCCCTGCATGCATCTTCTGGGTGCTTCCCCAGGATTTCTTCTCCGTAAGAGGAGTGAAAGGGAAATGGGAGACCAAGCCTGCAGTGTTTACAGACATAAATCACACTGCAGTCTCACCTTGGCCTCATCCATTCTTTGTTCAAGAATCTTTTCCGGGAAGAAACCAGCAACGGTTTGACTTGTGGCAGATCCTGAAGGCAGCACCGGCTGAGCTGCCATATTGTTCCCACGTTGATGGCTTGGTTGCGTGCGGCCCATCTGCACACCAGCCAGCCACGGCTGCTCACACCACTTTCAAGACCCGAAAATGCCGACCGTGAAACAAAAGCAGGGCAAATTTGCCGCAGCCAGCAGAAGCGGTCGGCAATATTGGGAGCTGTGGTCCAAGGGACCAGAAGACTGGAAGACCACCAGTTCTTGGCGCTGTGTTGTGAACTGCCCAAAGAGATTTGGCAATAGGGTGGTACAGAAATGAAATTCACAACAGCCACCGCAAGGGGATATGGCCAGACAAGCATCTCTGGCATCGTCCAAATATATCCACACTGATGTATGTGAAGAGCCCAGCATGGGAGACACGCCTGCTGCCTTCCCAGAAGCTTTGGTTGGCCCCCCGCACGGAGAGAGAGTGGGGCTGGCTGGGTGTGGGGCTCTGTGGGGCAAGGTCTGCAGGGCAGCAATCAGCCGTGAGAGCTCCGGGGGGTGGGGGGAGGTTCCGTGCTCCAAGGCAGGGGTCCCCTTTGCAGGAACTGGCCATCGTCTCCCTTGGGCTAGGCGCGGCTGCGCATCTGCCCGTGGATTCGATTGCTGTCCCGCCTGGCCTGGACGGTGCTCTTGCTTTCCCCTTTGCAAGCGCTTCTTCCCCTGCCTCTCCCTCCAGCCTGGACGACGGCGGCACTGAGGAGGCGGAGGCGCAGATGCCGTTGCTCCGAAGCGCCTCGGCCTGTCAAGTGAGCCAGTGGAAGCAACGGCGAGCCAGAGGAGGAGACGCAAAGGCAGGTAATGTGGGCTCATGGAGGGAGGGGGCCGGGGGAGGGCTTCTTGCCCATGGGCCCGCCAAACCCTCGAGCCAGACCTGCCGCTGGGTGCAGAACTGCACCCCCTGTGTGCTTGAGGATGCTCTTAAAACACCCATGGTATGAGACCCGCATCTGTGTCCAGCTGTGGACATCCAGGCTGATGTCCAGGGAAGGGGTGGTGCCCCTGCGAGCGCCCCCCCCCCCTTGCCACGGCATCGGCTGATTCACCCGCCTCCTGCTCTGGCCTGGCTCTCAGTCTGGCAGGGCAAGCAAGGGGAGGAGCAGATGGGCTGGTGACCGTGGCCACGAGAAGCAGGGGCGAGACGCCCTCCAGAAGCCTGGCGCTCCGGGTTGGCCAGAGCAGGAGCCCGGACAAGGGAGCCGGTTCACTTTCTTGGCCTGGACGAGGCTCCTTCATGCCCAAGGGCTGGAATGGCGGAGGGGACGTGGTTTGGAGGGGACGTGGTCTTGGAGGGGACGTGGTCTTGGAGGGGACGTGGTCTTGGAGGGGACGTGGTCTTGGAGGGGACGTGGTCCGTCTGCCTGGCTTGTCGCTGGCTCGGGGCTGTCGCTTGAGTGGCAGCTTCCAGTAAAGGTGCGGATCGTTGCCTGCAGTTGCTCCTCCGCTCATTCCCTGATCGAGCTGGCAGGCCCTGGCCCAAGACCCTCTTCTCCTTTTTCTTCTTATTGCGATCATAGGATTGTAAAACCAGGTGTTGGCTGATAGAGTCCTACTCAGAACAAGCCTTAGGAAAACAGGGCTCCCTTTTCAGGCATGGGTCTGCGACGAAGCACTGGAAGCATGTGACGCGCTCCTGCTTGGAGGACCCCGGGATGGGAGGGCACTGATGTTTCTGGTGCCCGACCAGGGTCCTGCCAGCAGGGCAGAGGCAGGGCCTGGTCTGGGGGAGCCCGCAAAGCCCACCCAGGCCTGCTGCTCCCCTTCACCCAGTGTCCAGGTGGTCCACTGCCTTCCGTCTTGCCCAACATGCCAGTAAAGAGAGCGGGAGGCGCCACAGTGCCCAGTTCTTGGTCTAGTGGTGCTGAGAAAGAGGACAAGGAAACACTGCAGCAGCTGGGGATGATGGCAGGGAGAAGGTAGGCTCAGTGCGGGGGGGGGGGGGCTATCGGGGAGTCCCGATTAAGTGCCCCAAGTCCTGGAGCTGGCACTGGAAGGAGCACAAGTAGAAGCTCAGACGGGACTTCCTTGTATGTGGCCTTGCCCAGGATCTTTATCAACCAGTGTATCAGTGTAAAGCTCCATAAATGAAGCCACCTTTGCCCTTGGAGGAGTGCCTGGGATGGTCATGCCATTTACCCTCGAGCACGTTGCTTTCCACTGGAGCTTTCTGCACATGGAATAGAAGGTGCCGCGGGTGGTTCCAGACCTGCTGCAGGGGTGCATCAAGGGTTAAAGTCCTTCTATCACTGGGCACAAAGGTTCTTAACCTGAAACAAGCCCCTCACCCCGTGGCAACCATTGCAAAAGGGAACGTTGTGTGCCCCGGGCAAAGCTTGTGAGAAGAAGCATGCCAATTCCCTCCCTTTGCAAGCAAGAGGGGTCTTTTCAGACCGTTCTTGCCAACCGTTGCCTTTGTAAGCACTGAGAAGTAGCCATTTTAAAAGGGATCCAGAGCTAAACATTTAGGTTTCCGCCCTTATCAGTAGCTCTGATGTTAGATGGATAACAAGAGTGATCAAATGAAAATTTCCAGGATGAAAAAGTTGAAAGCGCAGATGAGAACAGAGCTGACATATCACCCTTCGGATTAAAAGCCGTTGGATTTGGCATCTTGAGTTTCTTTCTGCCAAGCCTGTCAGTGTTTTGTTCAACTGGAAGTTATTCCAAATCTGAGAGACATTAAAAATTCTTCCAACAGGTAGCTCTAGCTTTGTTTTGCTTCTTAAGACAAATATATCTGGAACCTAATTCATTGACAATGCACTTTTAATTGATTTAAAGCTTTTAATCAATGAATATAAAGGATTACTCAATAAAACGTTTTAGCTAGTAAATGCAATCACTTCATTTCTCTGGCACAATATTGATGGTAATTTGCTGCAGCCGGTCAGGTGACGTGGTCCAGTCACCAAATTGCATGTGAAATCCTGCACAGATGAACGACCCTGTTTAATGAGGTGGCTTGATTCTCTAGTAATGAATTACCAAAAGCATTTCTTTCCACAACAAATGTGTCATTTATTCCTAATATTCTTTGCCAACAGTACAAAATTTCACTTTCAAACATTCAGTATTTATTAGTGTATTAATCCCCCCCACCATATTTTACTTTTGAGTGGATTCATAAAAAGCCCTCTTGGGCATCAAAACAAGGCCACATACAAGTAAGTTAATAACCCATAAGAAAGAGCAATAAAGTACCACATGAGATCCCCACCTGCCTCTGTGCATAACAAGAAAGCAGGTTTGGTGAACCTGAAATAAGTCATCCATTGTTTATCCCCCAGGGATAAATGGCATATGCTATTAAGGCTACAACTCTATGCCTGTTTAAGCAGAACAGATCTGGTGGACCTAGAAGCTGTAGGCCTTTTTATTTAAACGTTATTTTAATTGTTGCATTTATTTGTTGATTTTATTTTTATGTCAGGATGTCTCCAGATTTTTATGTATTTGTACATCTATTTATTTGTATTGGAAGCCGCCCCGAGGCTTTTGCGAATGGGGCGGCATATAAGTGTTCCAAAGAAATAGATTGATAGATAGATAGATAGATAGATAGATAGATAGATAGATAGGAGCTGTAGGCCTTTTGCTTTCTGAACATGCAGAGATTTAAAAGTCTCACCTGCAGCAAAGTCAGCAAAGGCTTCACAGAACTCAAAACCAAATGCAGGGGGACCTGATCCAGACTGAGATAAGAGTGTGGCACAGAAAGATTTCAGCGCTCACCTCTTCTTTGCTATGATCCTTCAAACTTACCATCCCTATCCAGAGTATGATAGAAATGATGTTTCTCTTTCACAGCTGGAGTTTTAAATCTTTTTTTTTTAAATGTACACTGCTGTGGTAGTAGCTCATAAACTCTTCAAATGGGCTTTTTCCCCCTTCAGTGTTTACCACCCTCTCCTCCCAGGTGGCGGTTTTGTAAGGCTGTCATTTGTCCTTCCTAGGCAAGGTGATATCTCATGTCAGCCCTAATCCTGCATTTTTGCTCTGGAGAGTTCATTATGTTATGACTCTTCCGAGTCTTCTTGAAAGCCTTTAAACCAACCAGGTTTTGGACAATGCCGGTGGAAGTAAAATAAGGTTCTGAGGGATGGAGACCAAAACGCAGCCCGTATGCAATGTGGAGGAGGCTTGTGGGGAAAGATGAGACTGCCAAAAGCTTCTAGGAAGGATAGCAAAAGGCGTCGACAGCTAGAAAGTTCAGCCTGAGAAGATGGGCTAAAATGGCCTTAGCCTCGTGTTTCTGGAGACCTGACGGGGGCACAACTCAGTGGGTTGTGCGGAGCAGAGACCCACTGCTCCCGTGTTACTCTGGTGCATCTGCCAGGATGAACGCGTCTGGCGATCTCCCTTTCTCCTCTTACAGATTTGCACAAAGTATGAATTTTGGCGAAGTCGTATTAGAGGAAGGGGAACTACATTTTCATCTGTCCTTAGCCAAAGATGAGCATGTGAGGGGAGATGGCAAGCTGCGTGACCGGGCATAACAGAATGGGCTGCCACAGGCTCCTCTGGAGTCGCTAGATGTGGAATTCTGCACCCGTATACCTGGAGGTAAGCGCCATTGACCCTAGTGAGACTTCTGCGCAGACTTGTAAAGGATTGCAGTGTCATTAATTAACTATTAATTACATGTAATTAGAGTTATTTAAAGGCAGAAGGACAGCCCGATGGGATTGGACTTTCAGCCCAACATGACTGGGCCAGCCAGATGTCCCAGCAGGAAGCCCACAAGTAGAGCTTGTGAGCAACCGGCTCCGTGCCATCCAGCAGTGCCCGGTGGCTCCAGTGTCACGGGGAATGGGGTGCAGAACCAAGGACAGCTCCCTAAATGGCCGGTCTGAAACCCGGGGTGGATACCCTGCCCCAGTGCCATCAAGGGTTCCCTTATAGAAGCATTGCAGGTGGCAGTCATCCACTCCCAGGTTCCGCCCTCTGCTGCCGTGATGGCGTTGGTAACACCGACCCGTTTGTAAGCCTCGCGGTGCTACTTATGCAAAGTGCTGGGAGTACTCCGGTGAACCATTCAGGCTGCCCTGCCAAGCTCGGGCACTGGCCCAGGCAAGCCAGGGACTCCAGGCCCATAGACGCCTCTCACCCCATTTCCACATCAGAGTGTGCTTTGCGTTTGCAGGTGTGCTACACCTTTCCTGAAGTGTTCAGGATGCCAGTGTTTGCAGAGGAATCTGGTTGTGTAATTCTGTGCAATAAAAGCAGTAATTGGGTAGGGGGATGTTTATTCACCTACTGGGCTTCTTAGGTTACCTATCTGAATGAGTGCATTTGCTATCCAATCTGATAAGCCTGTCAATAAATTTCTTATTGACTAACATCTTGCATTTTCACTCTCCCTTTGTTCTGGAAATGAACATTTCCACTGAAGTTATGCAAACAGACAAAACCCTTCCTGGAGCAAAGGGAACAACAAACCCATGATCCTGTTTGAATATTGATTCCTCTCAGGTTCAGACTTATTTACACTCGTACCATCTGGCTTTTCTTCCTCCCCCTTGAATGGTTTCTATTCCAACCGGATGTGCCGGGAACTTTCCCACTAAGAACAAGAGCCGGCTGTGCATTTTGCATCCTCCCCATCAATCAACTCCCCTTTTCTGGGGGTCCCCCTGGATCAGCGTGCCTTCCCAGCCACAAGACTGGACACGCTCAGGAAGATGGAAACCCGCAACCATCAGCACCCTGTTTCCTTTCTTCCTTCTTTTCTTTGTGGAGTGTGGAGGTGCCCCAAAACGAAGGGGTAACTTGGGTGCTTTCAGAACTAAAGCGCACCCCAAACCTGATAGGGTGGCAACTTCTCTTGCAGGCCAGCCCTTAACCTCAGCAGACGCTCTTTGGCCCTCTTGTTCCTGGACACACAGGGGAAGTGTTCTTAGCTCAGCATTGTTCATTGTCTCGTTCATGCAAGGGAAACGTTGCCATTCATCCTGGCTGTGCCCCAAAAGGTCCAGGAAAGAAGCTTGTTCCAAGGGAGATCTGTGTCTGCAAAGCAGTTCTGGGACTCTCAGCAGTTTCGGGGTGGGTTTCCCCACCTCAGAAGCAGACACCTGTCAGAAAAGCACCTGTATTGTAACCACTGTGGCAAGCGTAAAAGGAACCTGCTGGCTGAGAAAACGGAAGGGAGAGGCTGCCTCTGCACAGCCCAGGACACCACCTGCCATGGAATATGAGCATTCATTTCAGCTCCAGGCCTAGAAAGGAGTATTACAAAGGACTCACATACCGGACACATCAGGATTAACTAGAAAAGTGCTCTTTCCACTATGCATAATTAAGAAACCAGAGCAAGATGGATTGTTTAAACGCACTGATCTCTACCCTGAGGAAGGATCGGCAGTTAAGGCCAACACTGCCAAAGTAAATGCTGGCACGGCTGACGCAAGGAACTGGATTAATTCCCAGCTGCTAGAGACTCAGGAGCGAGGGTCACCACCTACCTCATGGGTCTCCAAAGAGGCGGAGGGTGCCAGCTGAAAGTTGTCCCCAGCAACCGGTGCTCACGAGCCTTCTGCCTCTGAGAGCAGAGCTGTTTGGACCGGCAGGAATTCTCCACAAGGAATTTGTCCCGTCGCCTTTCCCCAGCTGTCCCCAGCCTTCCCCCTCGTCCATGCTGAGCGGGAAACTTCCACATCAGGCCAGGCACATTCTGGCCCATCTGCCTCCCTATTCTGTCCTCTTTTTGGACAATGCAGCCCTTCGGTTCTGCGATTCCTAAGCGGCCTCCTCATCGGGCTGCCAGCCAGGCCCAGGGCAGGCAGCAAGCTGGCAGCCCAGCCCTGCCTCCAGGGCCCTGCTCTGCTCCGCGCCCTCCGGCACCTGCTTCCCGAGGTGTCTGATGGGACGCCCAGCCCTGCGTGCATCTTCCTCCCGTCGCGTAGGGCAGGCAGCGCAGCCCCAATTCCAGAGGGGTTGGGAATTTGCATGAGTAAATGGTGCTCCTACCCACACAGGCTATTTTCTTTTTAAAAAAGAATTGCACACCAACGTCTCCTCCATGGGCAAGCGGCGCACAAAGAGTCTGGGGAACAATCTCATCTCGGCTGGGAGTTCTAAGACTTTTCTCTGTCAAAGCACTTAAGGATTGTGTCTTCGGTATCCTGAGCCATGCGATTTATTTATTTATTTATTTGAGAGCCAGTGTGGTGTAGTGGTTTGAGCATGGGACTGGGACTCAGGCGACCTGAGTTCGAGTCTCCGCTCAGCCATGGAACCAACTGGGTGACTTTGGGCCAGTCACAGACTCTCAGCCCAACCTACCTCACAGGGTTGTTGTTGTGGGGGTAAGATGGAGGAGGAGAATGATGTCAGCTGCCTTGAGCCCTTTGTAGGAAAAAGGCAGGATATCAATCAGTCAATCAATCAATCATTTCCTAACCTCCCTCTTCTCCCAACCAATGTGGGTGGAAACACCTCTACATTATGCAAGATTGTTTTAAGGATTATACAGACAGGTGCCGTGCTTTGAATGCTCTGTATTAATGCAGGGGTATATTCGTCACCGCCATCATAGCATTATGGAATGTTTTCTAAAGATGGAAGCACCTGTCCATTTCTTTCTTATTTTTCCAATCCTCAGTTCAGCTCTTCTTGAACTTCATTCTTAAATTTGGCTCATCCTGTGCTTTGGAAACTTGTTTTTAAGAGTTTGCATTAAAATCCACAGGCATTTTTGTACATGTTCCTGAGTATATATCCATTTTTGCAGGCGTTCTTACATCACGCACATTTCCTTGTGCAGATTTGACCATCATTTCCCTTAATGTGCTCTGTTTTGAAGACATTTTGATTGGAGAACTTCACTGCAAATTTGGAGAAGTGCAGCTTTCCGAGGATATCTGGGGTTTGCTTCACACTGTGAAATGGAGTAAGTTTGCATTAAAATGTAAATGAAGTTAATTTCCCCTCCAGCCCTAACTGTTTCTCTGTGTAGAAGATGCTTTGTGGAACTGCACCATCTGGCGGTGGTAGAAATGTCTCAGAACTGCAGTTGGAGACACAGAAATGCATACGCTGATGTAGCTTGCACAGCTAGATTTTCTTGGTGTAGTCAGCATTTTTTTAACCAGTAGCTGCCATGAACCCTGCTGGGCCTGAAAGGTGGGCTGGCAGGATTGCTCCTTTGTGCTGAGGGCGCCCAGGCCATGAGGGGCAGAATGTAATGGAAAAGGCGGTGGGCTTGGCCCCCGCCCCAGCTGCCCCGTGCTTCCCTCCTCCTCCCCCACAGCCCCTCCCCAGCCCCGGTGCAAACACTTTTCAAATCAGACGCTGTAGTCACAGGATGAGTGGGAGCAGCAAAGCAGAGCAGACCTCTGTGGACAGATTTAAAAGACGACTGCTAAAGGGACAGCCGGCATTACAGACTCTTCCTGCCTGAAGGGGCAGCTACTTGCTGGTGCAAACATTCCAGATGTAGAGATTGGGCCCATTCCCCCTAGAAGAGCATCTTCCAACAACGCTGACTCAACGTCTCGCTCTGAACTGGAAGATGCGCAGCAAGTCCCCCGTGGCCAGAGGAGCCAGCGGTATGCCTGGCATTCGCTGGGAATGGGGCCATGTCTGATTCTGCAGGAAGGTCGCATGCGCCAAGCCCGGTGCGAGGGGCGTGCCCAGCCACACGGCTCTGAGGATGCAGCTGCAGGTTGCAGGGCCTGGTGGGGGCCGTTAACTGCCGGGGTTGCCATCCTGACAGTGTGCTCTGCTCCTTCATGTTGGAAGGGAGGAAGGGCATTCCTTTGGGAACCAGTCCTGGAGCTCTGGGTCCCCAGTGGTCCGTATTTTTCCCTGGCGTGTGTCTTTGGTTCCATGCAGACTTCTTTCACAGCACAAAGGCAGGCCAGGAAAGCCCTTGATTAGAACGCTTTTGTCCTGCTCCGCTCGCGGCTTTGGCAGTCCTCCAGGGAATTCTGTCAGGACACTTAGCAAGATCGGCTCTGACTAAGGGTTGCCCGGTCATTAGGTCATCCTTCAAGCAGGAGGAGGCCTTGCTAATGGGCTTCCCTGCTTGAGCGCAGTGTCGAGAGCATCTCGCCAAGCTCTGCTCTCTGCACGGCTGCGACCGATGCTGCAAAGCCAAGGGTTGTGAAGCTCCAATTCGCAGCAGGGCGTGTGTAAAGGGATCTGCATTCTGCCCTCCAAAAGCTTTCCCAGGCAGTCATCACCCCAGCTTTTCTCTGAGATGGCGAAGCGCAGGGTGACGTGAGCGCTTTCCCTTTCTACCAGTTGTTGCAGCCTGCTTGCTCCCATATCAGCAGGAAGGAGTAAAATCTTTCGACTTTGCCTCGCCCTGCTTTGCTCGAGGCCAGCCTCTGTGGCAGCTGGCACAGATGGGAACCATGCTCCTCACTCAGAGGATGCTAACTTGTGGGCAGAAGTGGCTTTCTGGAATATCGGCGAGGGGATGCTGCGGCCCAGGGTCGAGCTGAGGACCCGCAACTGCAAGCCTGAAGGGCAGAGACAGACAGCGTTGTTTGAGAGAGGGCTCTAGGGCCTCTGGGACAAAGATCAGAGGATGCTGAGAACGGGGACGTGGCCTGAGGGAGGTGGAAGGCCAGAATCCAGGAGGCAACAGAGGAACCTGTGCGGCCGCTCATCACCACCACCCGGCAGGCAGCCGTGTCCGTCCGTTGCAGCAAAAAGAGCAGGGTAACGACACCTGGAAAGTGAGGCGTGGCTTGGTTGCGTTGCTGTGTTGCCTAGCAGTTGGCGCTTCTGAGTGGCTCGCCACCAGTGGTGCCACAGACAGTGTGGCCACGGGAGCTTATGCCGGGAGAGCTTTGTCACTCTCCGTCTGCATTCGGGGGCCACCGCGGGGCAGCCTGGCCCTCGGTGGCCAAGCTGTCCCGGAGGAGCCGGTAGCAAGGTGCCGGGCTGCCTGGCTGGGCCACCAGACTTCACTGGGAGCCACAAAGCAACTGCCTCGGATCTGATCTGGGTAGCTGTCCTGGGGGCCTTCATCTGGCAGATCCCATTGGCATCATAGGATCCCCCACCCCTGGTCAATGTCGCACACATGGCTCAGACCCCCTCCCCATTTTGCCCTGCAAAGCGGGGGGTGGGGTGGTCACTGGATAGTGATTGGCCCAGTCTTGGCCGGGAATGATGGGAGCTGCGCTTGAGCAAGCCTGGAGAGCACAGCTTGGGGAGGTGGCCCAGCCACGCAGGCCCCCCCCCCCTTTGCCACGGATGTGTCTCCTCTGACAGTCTGCAGTGCGTGTGCAGAAGCTCCTTCGGCAAACGGAGCCGGTGAGGTGCGAGGAGGGCAAGCGTGCTGGACCGGGAGCTGGGAGATCCGGGTTCTGGTCCCGGCTCCCCCATGAAGCTCACGGGGTGACTTTGGGCCGGCCCCACATGCTCAGCCTAGCCTACCTCGCAGAGCTGCGGTAAGGATAAAAGGGAGCGGCTGAGAACCTCTGAGCCACCTGGAGTACTTTGCAAAAGAAAGAAGGTCGGATATAAATGCATGGAATTAATCATACTTACAGTTGGGGATGTCACACAAATGTTTTCTTATAGTCAAATACATAAATAAATCCCTAGGAAACCTTTCTAGTGGATGTGTGTAATGTGTAAGCACACACACACACAATTTCTATCTCATTTTCAGCTGCAGTTCGGCTTGTGTTGGTGGTAGGGATCCCATGGCAACCTCCTTTTTTCCTAGGATATTTCCCTTTAAGCAGAACATGTTGGTTTAAATATAGGCTGATCGTCACCTGACACTTTGTGTTCTTCCCCTCTTGGTTGCTGGTGGCTGCACACACGTGTGGGGATGTGGTCTGGAAGAAAGGGAGTGTCCCTGCCTTGCTGAGGTTTTGGTCACCAGTTATAACCTGTGCAGGAAAGGACTGCCTTCTTCCTGATTTCGTGGCAACTCGGGGACTACAGCCAACGCCAGGTGCCTCTGCTCCCCGCTTTGGTGGTTCCCACTTTTCCAAGCGTGAAAAAGCTCCAGCACCAGGTGGGCGGGATGACTGCATTTGTGAAGACAAGTGTCTGTGGAGGAAAATTAGCAGGGGCATCTGTGATCTGCAGCACTTTTTATCAGCCCGAAGGCAAACATGGGAGGCAGGGAGGCTGGTGGTAGCGGGCTCCAGCTCCAGACCCTGAAGCCTTCCTCTTATTCGGGTGGGGGGGGGGTGCTGCAGGCCTGGGCTTTTCCCCAGCACCCAACAGCCAGGGGATCGCACAGCATCCCGTTGCAGCAGTACAACGCCGGTGCCCTCTGGGCTACCAGGAGGATGGATCTGGCCAGCCCCTCCTCACCTGAGCCTCAGCCCAGGCCGTGGCTTGGGGTGGCGGGTGGAGTGCGCCTTCCTTCCTCGCCACCCAGCTGTGCTGTTTGGTGTGCGACCCTTGCTCTGGATGCCCGCCCCGTGCCAGTTTGCCCCTCCACCCTGGAAATGGGGCCGGCTTCTGTATCCGTTCCTCTGCGGAATTCCTGGCTTATCCATTACTTCCCATCTCCAGCAGGGAAGCGATGGGATAAGCAGGCCTCCATTCCCCACCATGGCTTGCTGAGTCCTAAGCTCACCCTTCCCAAGCTTGTGTTCCTCCACATGTTCCATGATGAATTTTGGGAGCTGCAGTCCACCAGGAGTCGCCGAGGTGGGCCCTTTCCGAAAGAAGTGAGCTACAGCAGGAGATCTTGGCCCTTCAAGGGCCACTAGCAAGCGAGGCTGGTTAGCTTTATTTATTTTTATTTTTATTTATTTTATTTACATATGTTTATAGGCCGCCTATAATTGCGAGGTCTTCCTAGGCAGCTTACAATGTAAAACATGCCAACAGAGAAAAAGCACATTAAAAACCAATTGAAACACAGTAAGTAAACATTTTAAAAACAATTAGAAAGGGCCACTGCACGCAAGCTAAATGTTAAAAAAATTCCCAGAAAGATACGTCCTTGCATGGTGTCGGAAGGGAAATGGCGCCAGGCGAATTTCCCTAGGGAGGGAGTTCCAGAGAAGGGGAGGCCAGGCAGATCGGTAAGACGGCTGCATTGCGTTCTGTCCCTCGGCAGGGCCTGCCACTGGGAAGACGTGCCGACTGCCCGCTGCTTCCAAGGAGACTCCTCCCACCTGCCACCGGGGCCTCATTGCGTGCTGGCCTCCCCCAACAGGCGAAGCCAGTTCTCAGGCAACATGGTGCCAGAAGCCCATTGATGTCATGGAGCATGGCCACACCCCCATGTCATCTGGCCCACTCAATTCCTCCCACTCCGTGGCCCACCCTGGTGGTAAGTCGTGGTATTGTTTGTTGGAATGTGGTCTCTGGTTGCATCCAAAACTATGCTCCCCAACAAGCCATGGTTTAGCTGCTGCAAACCATGGTTCGCTGTTGCCTTATGAAGCTGGGTTGGTTCAATGATGGCTTGTCAGGGCTTATCCCTCACTGGTCTGTGCTGCTTTCTGTCTGGAAACAGAAGTGTCTAGTGAGAGTCTCCCAGAAACAAAACTGCTCTCTATGCTGGCGAAAGGGGCAGGAGATAAAGACTCCAGAAGGAGAGAAAATAAGCCATGGCTTGTTTTCTTTACCTGCAAGGCAATTCGTGGCCAAATCAAAAAACCCGAGTTAACATATGCCATGGCATAATATCATGCGCAACAGCAGCCTGGGAGGTGAGAAAAAAATCTACAGCTGTCAGTGACAGGCAAACTCTACAAAAGAGAACTCCACATCAAAGTCTTCATTCGCCTTTGTGTGAAGCAGAGACTGATTGTAGCTGGCAGGGAAGTATCCTTTTTCATTATTATTTTGGATGTACTTAATTTCCAGAGGAACTCTGAAATGCTGAAGCCTATGATCATCGCAATCTCCCCAAAGTCCCGGTGGAACTTCACGTGGGATTCTCCCTATTCCATCCTGACAGTCTGAGAAAGAATAAAGAAGGGAACTCTTGCTAAAAGAACAACGAAACTACAGGTCTGCAGCTCCAAGAAAGAGTACAGTGAAGTAAAAAGCAGAGGTGAGACATCGAGGTGGCATAAAGTATTGTGGGGTTTATCTGTCAGCTGTAACATTCCTTTTCCTACAGAAAGGGATTTTATTTTTAGCACTCAGTATTGGGGATGTCAGAAAAGCTGGCTGGGAGAAGACTAGATCAAAAGATTTTTTTCCCCATACAAAAGATGCACACCTGCTTAGTAATTCACTGAAGCCAACTTTTATATTCATTCGCTTCCATAACACCAGTCAAACATACTTCTGGCTTTGCTGTTTGATATTTGAAAGCTGGAAATAAGTTTCTCACAAGTTAACTATCCAGCAGAGGCTTTCAGGGAAAGTATAACTTTTGTATAGTTTTGCCACTGTCCCTTATAAAAAGACAAGGAAGGGGGGTGGGTGTCAATTAATTAATTAAAATATTTCTAGGCGGCCATTCTGGGCAGAAGCACTTCCGAGGCACCTTATAACAATAAAATTGATTGATAAACTTTCATAAAAGCAACAAACTAAGAAGCAACAATGAACCCACACAAAGCAGAAAAAAATGTCAGCATAAATAGGTTTTTAGTGCCATCCTAAAAGCTTGCAAAGTCCTACCTGATAAACCCCAAGGGCATCCTGCTCTAGAAGTTTAGGGCCGCTGCAGAAAAACCCCTCATGTGTACTTGACCATCAAACTGTGCTCAAATGTGGGCAAGTAGGAAGACCTTCTGTTGCTGATCCTAAAGTGTGAGGAGCAAGATATGGATGAAGGTCAAGTAATTTGGTCCTATGTTTTGTGTGTGTGGTGGGGGAGCATCCAGAGGGGTTCGGCTGCCCCACTGAATTTGGGCAATGGGGCCATCCACAAACCTGTCCTTGGTCTGAGTGGAAGAGGGGACTCTTTGCTTACTCCTTCTGAGCAGAAATGTGCAGGCCTTCAAGGCACCCAGATCTCAGCTGTGGTTAGGTACCTCCCCGCTGCATAACCAGTGCTGCCTCCATTTTGAGTGCCGTTTCCAGGAAGCCAAGTGTCTTCACCTTTGCTCCAGCAAAGGTGGGAGAAGTGGAGTTGAGTGCTGTCAGGTAAGACTCGATCAAGCACTCGGTTTCCAACACAGGTTCTAAAATGCATTTCCCAGCAGCAGAGGCGGGGAGAAAATCAAGCAGAACGTGCACCCCTGGGGCAGCAAGAGGGATACCAGGTAAAGCACCTGGTCAGGGACCTCAGAGGTGCCACTCCAGAGATGCACGTTTTGCTCAGAGCCTATGGAAGGAAGACGGGAACACCGAAAGAGAGGCCAGCTGAACTGAGTCAGATTCTTCCCTCCACGTGCCATCTCAAATCAGCAAAGGGAAATGTAGAAGTTCTCCCGAAAGACATCGACCAAGAACCAGTTCTGCTGCCCATCAGGGAAAGTACCCTTGCGACTTGCGTGGTTCTCGCACATGCCCTTGCTCCCCGAAGGCAAGCAGTGCTTAAGGGAGCAATTAAGCAGGTGGGAAGTGCTCTGGAGGGGCAGCCCTCTGCCCCCAACAGGTGTTTTCACTGCGCTTGCATCACGGGCGTAACAGGAAGTATCACAATCCCTGCATGGAGCCTCCAGCATTTCCGACAAATAACTCCCGCGAAGAGGGAAATACAGTGCGGCAGGCCTCTTGAACGGGGGCAGTTTCATTAACAGATGTTTCTGTTACAGTCTGTCAAAATTGTGAAAGCTAGGTCAGTTTTTATTAATGTGGCAGCCACAGGGTTTGCATGAAATGATTTCCAATCCTTTATCCCTTCTGGTTTCAATTAGCCGCTGCTGCCACCGCCTTCTTTTTCTGGCACACGGCTGCAGATCTATGCATCCCCTGTCATTCAGAGTCCAGTACCCAACGACTTAATTCAGGCCAAACTTCAGGGCCACCCCTCTGCTGATTTTCTCTTGCTGCAGCCGGCGAATGAGAGCTCAGAGCTAGAGCCAGAGATGGGAGCAGCAAGGGGGTGAGAGAAGGAGGCTTCCGTTACCATCCAGCCCTCTCCAGCACAACGAGTGTGGCTCTGGAGGAGTTCCCCACCCTGCCTCCAAGCAGACTGCCTTTCTGCGTTACCTTCCTTTCTGGTTCGGCATGCAACAGCCGAGCTCGATCAGGAAGCCAGGGTGCAATTTCAGCTGTGCAAGTCATTCCTTGGGTATTCCCAGGTTTTGTGTTATATTCTACACCCCTGCCTCCCGTTGGCTGTCCACCAAACTACTGTTCACACAGCCCAGACCATTGAGAAGGGACTGGCCAGAAAAGTCAGCCAGTAAATTCACCAGCAAAACTGCAGCTGCGAGTCATGTCCACCGGCCGCCCGGTATTTCTTATTCTACCGAATCATGAGAAGCACAAAATCTTGCCTTCGATGCCCACCCAAGACTACAAGGGCGTTCAGCAGTCTGTGTTCCTTTTTAAAAATGGGCATGGAAAACACGTCCTTTGGAAAAATGGGCACAATATGCTTTCATCAATGAGGCACGCAGACAGCCTCATTTCCATTCACAATCTGTCCTTGGAGGAGAGCTTTGGACCTAAGCACCCATGCTTCCAGACGGCATCCTAGCCCAGAATGGGACATGAAGTTCCAAGCGTAAGCTTTTGATTCGCTATGTTCCCATGATGAGTGAGACCGGCACACACCATGGAGACCGCTGCCAAAGAGCCCGATGTTTTCTGTTTATTAATTACAGGTGCATTTAAGGTGCTTAGATATAAAGGGCTGAGAGAACTAAATATACTCCACACTGTTCTGTAGAATCTGCACGGGGACCCTCTGCAATTGGAGACCATTTTGGCTCTGAAGGCATATCAATCCATGCCTGCCTATTTGTACTCCGAAAACATTCCCAGCAGCCAGCAACTTGGAATGTATAAGCACTTTTTAAAAAATCGCTTTCTTTTTCTTTTTTCTTTCTCTTCGATTTACATCCTGCCTTTTTCCTACAAAGGGCTCAAGGCAGCTGACATCATTCTCCTCCTCCATCTTATCCCCACAACAACAACCCTGTGAGGTGGGTTGGGCTGAGAGTCTGTGACTGGCCCAAAGTCGCCCTGTTGGCTCCATGGCTGAGCGGGGACTCGAACCCATGCTCTTCACCACTACGCCACACTGGCTCTCCTCAGTTCTCTTCCAAAGAACAAAAATGAGATGCAATTTTCCAGGTCTTATTTGTTTTTTTAAAAAAATACCCTGCACCAGCACGTAAACAGTAGCTGGCTTGGAGGTTTATAGGTGCAGGAATATTGCCCATTTCATTCCATAGTTCCACTCTCGAAATGCTTCTGGGAGAAATGTCATAAAAGAACTCAAAAGGCTTGTTCTGGACAGCGGTTCATTCTCTGCCGCACTTGCCCACAAGGCCACAGTTTTGCACAGCTGAATGCAAAAGCTTCAGCTTTCTACTGGAATAACTAGCTTTCCCCTGGAGATCTCATTAATTGCAAGAGTGCCTTGTGTAGCTTGCAATGCCCATAATTTAGCAGAATGCTGATGATAAGTTCCATCCAGCATTTACTTTGAAAACAAACAAACAAACCACCTTTACACCCAGTGAATGTTCCCAAGTGTGCTAAACGGTGGTCATTTGCGACCTCAAGGTAACGGGCCACTCTGGATTTATTCATTCATTTATTTATTATAGCATTTTTATGCAGCCCCCATTGCAGAAAGCCTCGGGGTGGCTTACAAAGCAGACTAAGCAAACATAGAATAAATATAAAAAATCCGGAGCATCTTAGTAATAGTATAAAACCAGTAAATAAAAACAATTAACAATTAAAATATCGTTTAAATAAAAAGGTCTTGGCCTGGCGCCGAAAAACAAATAACGACCAAAATGTTACCAAAATGTTGAACTCTGGGACATTGATAATCAAAAGATTCAAGCTAATGCTGTTCAGAATGACCAGGAACATGGCATCTTTATACAATTAGGAGACGACAGAAATCTGAAATTTTAGGGGCAAAGAATTCTGTACATGCTTGTGTCTTCTGCTGAAAATCTATGGGACATGTGCCCCTATTCTGCGGATATTTACTTGGAATTAAGTCTCTGAGTCTTATTCCGAGACACAAAACTGCAGAACTTTAATGCACATTATGAATGCCTGTAGTTACACTGTAAGTAGCCCAGCACCAGATACAAAATAGTTCAGCATACCAAGACAAAGGTATGCTTCTGACTTTAACTAGTGTGAGTACTGTTGCTGGATGGATTGCATCCTTCAAGCTCAGCAGCCTATTTCTCCTTCGGGGGAATTAATCTTGATTGACCATGCAACTGTATGTTGGTTTCCCAGTTAAATTCTGAAGAACAACTCTGTTTTTTAAAGCACCAAGTACTGTAGACTATGTGATCCTATAAATCCAAGAGAAAATCAAATATGGATCTTGGGTGAACAGGGCATCATTCTGGTATTTGGTATTTCCAGAAATATTGCAATAAATTATGTTGCTATGCTATGCTAATCATGAAGTCGTGTCCGACCCATCGCGACCCCATGGGCAACATTCCTCCAGGCCCTCCTGTCCTCCACCATCCCCCGGAGTCCACGTAAGCTCACACCGACTGCTTCAGTGACTCCATCCAGCCACCTCATCCTCTGCCGCCCCCTTCTCCTTTTGCCATCTATTGTTTCCAGCATTAGAATCTTCTCCAGTGAGTCCTTCCTTCTCATTAGGTGGCCAAAGTATTTGAGTTTCAAATTATGTTTCAAATTATGTTGACTTTCCCTTAATAAAAGGCCCAATGAAAGATACAGAAGAGAAAGGATAGGATTTTTTTAAAAAATGCAGGAGTACTTTAGCACTTTAAACTACTTTAAAACAGAGCACATTTTGGCCAAAGTTAAAATTAACCCCCTACCTACTCTAACATTTCATCATTCTCAGTAGCCCAACTCTTTCCCACTGAAACAAAATATTGCTAAAATGATTATGGTCAGTACTTGTGAATGATATTAGGCGGGTGAGTACCTGGAGGAGGGCTTTCTCTGCGGTGGCACCCCATCTATGGAATGCGCTCCCCAGAGAGGTCCACCTGGCGCCGTCATTATTTGTTTTTCGGTGCCAGGCTAAGACCTTTTTATTTAAAACTTATTTTAATTGCTAAATTATTGTATTTATTAGGATTTTAAATTAGCCGAGAATGCACCGGGGGGGGGGGTTAAATTTTTAGTTTTGTTTTTTTTTTTTTTTTGGATTTTTTGTGAGCCACCCCAAGGCTTTGTTGTGATGGGGGCGGCATAGAAATGTTTTAAATAAATAAATAAATAAATACTTAAGTGCAAATGAAACTCTGCGAATGTCACAGGATACTCCGCCTTTATCCTGAGTAATACCTTTCACCACAAAATTATCTGTAGATGGAGAAAGCCTGGCTGTAAAGCTCTCAGTGGTCCTTTGTCTGATGGCTGCAGTCCACCTCCAGCTTGAGGCCACGTCTCGGGGGGGGGTATCACTTACGGCTACCACATCCGTGTCCAGCCCGTTGGCTTCTCATAGACCTCTGGTGTGCTCCAAGAGAAAAAGTCAGCCTTTGGTCTCATCCAGCAGAGGTGTTCTTATTACGTATGGCCAGTGCTTTTTTTGTAAGAAAAAGGGTGCCGGAACTCATGAAATTATTTACTTTTCACACGTAGTCAATCACTGAACACACACCCACACACGTCAGTTGTGTAACGAAATATAACCGTCGCCGCCCGCAATAAGCACTCAGCACGCGACCACACGACCAGTCCCAAGCCGAGCAGCGCCACAAGCCGAGCAGCACCATCACAACCAGTGTGAAGGACGCATGCAGTGGACTCAACACGCAAGCAGCCCGCACGCACCGTTTTCATGATTTTGCTGCCGACCTGCTACGCT